AGGCTGCTGTTAATTCCCTGACATCTGCCTGTCACACCATGAACTGGTTGTTTCTCCTCTGGGATGGCTCTCCGCCATCGTATTGAAGCCCACTGACTGTGAACTGAAACATCTGTAAACCGTGAGCTGAAATAAGCCTTTCTTCCTTTAGGTTTAGGTGTTGGATATTTTGTTTCAGCAATGAGAAAAGTAAGACACACACTCTCTAATCACATACATAGAAGATTTGAATGTCTGTGGTTCCACCAGGCTAACGGATTCTAAAGAGTACTAAAAGCAGTGACTGGACCAAAATGATTGAATGGCTTCCAAGACTTGCTCTTGCAGAGGGCCCCATTGAAAGTCAGCGGTGTTGCTGGTAATCTTGACTAAGAGGACCAAAAAGATACCCAGGTTGGGTACATGCTGTCTTCATTACCTAAAGATACCTACTAGCAGCTACTGCCCTCCCTTTTCATTAAGTACAATCAGACCAAACTCTTTTTATTTGAGCATATCCAGGATATTTCTTTGGCTTTCCAACCAGATGACCTTGGCATTTCGCTTATAGTACTCCATTGTTGGTCTCCAATGCCCAGGAGAGCTTTTGGACCAGCTGAACATGGCTGTTACATCTCCACAGGGTTGCTGGCAATATTTTCATCTGCATTGTCTTGAATTACAGTTATGTCCTGCTCTCTGCTCTATGTGCAGAACCACTTTTGTTAAGTAGCCCATTAGGACTTGAGTAGCTAGGTACAGACAGGAGTGGCCATGCCATGTTATGGTTCAGATTCTCAACTGTGAAGGGCATAGTCTTCAGATGAGGGTCACAATCTGGGACACAAGCAGCCAAAATGCCAACAGTCTGTAATGTACTCATTGGCCAAAGGGATCCACGCAGAAGCAGATAAACAGATAAGCACTGGTGGTCGCTGTGTTGTCCTCAGGCCTTCTGTTGCCATCAGTTTAATTTTTACCTTGAGAGGACCAGGAAACATTGTCACATAGCTCTCATATCCAAGAACTCCGGCTAAGTCTGAACTTTTTACTTTTCCCTTTAATCTTGATAGGAGCAGAAGGTCACTGGACTCTCCTAGGAGTCCACAAACTTTGATCTCATCTTTAACTGTCCTGTTGAACCTGAGACCTTTGGGTCTTAGTGCCCCTTTATTATTCAGAAACAAACATCTGGTTGGTCATCTGGTTGGACTACAGAAGGCTTCCCTAGCTCTCTGTCCTTCTGTCGTCTTTTTGTTTCCCTCTCAGATGTCACAAGGGCCATTGGTCATGGACTTCTTTTTTCTTTCCTCTCAGACAGCTCAGGGTCCATCTGAATGCTTAGTTCCCAAGCCTTCCATGAATACGCAGTCTCATCATGACTGTCAACTAGGGGATCCTAGACCAGGCTCCCTACTTCCACATGTTCTTTCTGTCTCAATCCATGCAGCCAGTTCATTCACATCCATGTACATGTGTGTCTATGTCCCATTTACCGTTCTTTTTTGCCATATATTTTCCAGCTGTATGTCCAACTCCTGCACCCCCAAGCTGGCATCTGTACGTGGGCCAGTTATGAGAAGGGCTATTATTTCTCCCACTTAGCCAATAAGCCAGTTTTCTCAGATGCGATCCTGCATGCTGCAGGAACAATTTTGAGTGAGACAGACCCCTCCATACACAGGTTAGTTACATGAAACAGCATTACTACAAGGAGGAGGCAAATGATAACAAATGCTGAGCAGTCACTGCCAACCAGTCCTCCGGGGCTCAGGAAAGCTGGCCAGAGCAGCAGATAGGATCTCCTCCGGGAGTTCCCCACTTGCACTGCAGCTGAAAGGGCCTCAGAAGTTAGCCTTTCTTGGGTAATCGACCTTGTGGACTTATGATTCACTGGCACAGGACATGCTATTTCTAGCAGGGAGTAGAAAAGTTCCCAGGCTGTTCCATACAGCCTCCCTCCCCACTAAATTTCAGGATGTTGTATCCAGTGCATTCTACAGTTATTCTTCATCACTGTGAACAACAGAGATGGGCTGGCTCAGTCCCAGGCTATCTGGAGAACTGCCACACGTCACCCATTTCACTGTTTCACATGAAATGTAGAAGAAGCTGGAAAACTATATCTGTTCCTCTCTGTTCCCCCACCGAGGAGCCTTATGGGTACCACACACTACCCCTGCATGCAGTGAAAACCCCACCAGACAACATGTTCTTTTTGCTTTCAACATCCATGCACACCTTACATGCCTGGACAAAAGGCTTTGAGGGCTGAACCAACAGACTCTGATCCAGGACTGAGTTTAATAGGAAGGCACACAGAGCAGACTGAAAAAGCACTGCACTAGCTTTGAAAGCTGAATTTGCATTGGAGCCATGCTGCACTAAAGGCAAATTGAAATGCAGCCCATACCTAACCAGATCAATTGTCAACTAAAACAAAATTCCAGCACTATCCAAAGGATCTCTATACTCACAGTCCCACAGTAGTCTTGGATTTACCCAAATAATTACCATTTCTGTTGCTTATCAACAGTCTAAAGTTACAAGTTTCCTTTTCATGTCATTCTCATGTCCCTTTAGCCTGAGGAACCCCATTTAGCACTTTTTTTAAAAGTTCTGCTAGTAAGAAACCTTCAGTTTTGTTTCACCTGATCATTTCTAGTTGCCTTCTGTCCTAAATCAGGGTATCGAATTCTGGATTTACTCTTCTCTAGCACTTTAAAGGTGTCCCCCTACCTTCTGGTCTCCTTTGTTTCTCACCTAAAATGTACAGTCATTTGAATCATTCCTCTATATGTATCATATCCTATTTTTGTAGCTGTTTAAAATGATTTTCTTTGGTTTCTTATAGTTTAATTATGATAGTTCTTGGCATAGTTTTCTTTGCATTTATCAATCCTGAACTTCCTGAATAGGTAACATTATGTAAATCACCAAACTTGGGCGTTTCCATCATTGTTTATTCAATTGTTAATTTGAAGCCATTGTTATCCCCTATTTCTATTGACATTGTTGCAATGCTTTTATGGGGGGGGGGAGAAAAGAAAAGTAAAGAAAGAGAAAAAGACAAGAAAAACATTATTGTTTAAGGAACCTGAGCTCTGTTCATTTGGTGTGTGTATTTTTTTTCTTGTCTTTGAGTTAGGTAATTTCTATTGATGATCAAGTCTTTCTTGATTGTTAAGTATTTAGGAGAGATTTCTTTGGTTCTGGCCCATGTTTTTTTCTCCCTGAATTTGTCAAATCTGTAGATTTATATCTTAACCCCAAATTAGGAGGGATTTTAAAATTTTAAACCTACATCATCCTGAATCTTGTTCATTTCTTCTCGGTGCTCTGTGGGGTCATCTTTATCAATCTACTTTCTGATTCATGGACTGTTTTGTCATCTCTATTCTGCTATTGGTCCTCCCAAGTGAGATTTTATTTGTTTTATTGTATTTTTAAGCCTAAAATTTCTAATTTATCCTCTATTTTTCGACTGAGTTTTTTTTTTTATTTTTCCATTTGTTTTGAGAACGTTCAAGATTGCTTGTTGGAATAGTTTTAGAATCATTGTTTAGGTATTTTGGCAGATTATTTTAGCCTTTTGAATTGGCACTTGTTGATAGTGTTTCCCCATATGAGTTGAGATTTTCCTAGTTCTTTGAATGCTAACTTACTGGGATTTTATCCTGGACATTTTGTATGTGATGCTGTGGGACTCTGAGTGTACAGATCCTTTGGATAGTGCTGGAATTTTGTTTTAGTTGACAATTGACCTGGTTAGGTATGGGCTGCATTTCAGTTTGCCTTTAGTGCAGCATGGCTCCAATGCAAATTCAGCTTTCAAAGCTAGTGCAGTGCTTTTTCAGTCTGCTCTGTGTGCCTTCCTATTAAACTCAGTCCTGGATCAGAGTCTGTTGGTTCAGCCCTCAAAGCCTTTTGTCCAGGCATGAGCAATCGGAAAGTGGGTACAGGCATTCGTAAACAACTCCAGGGAATCACTTTGTCAAGCACTGTCCCTCATACCTTTCAGTTCCCTAAAACTCTCCCTTTGGGAACTTTAATTGCTGCTCTCTGTCACTCACTAGCAATATTGTGCTCTCACCCAAGGCCAAGAGTTGGGAGAACTGATTGGAAAACAAACCAAACCCAGGGCATTCTCTGCCAGTGTGGTGGAACCTCCAAGTCTGGTCCCTGCCTCTCTGTTGCTGTCCTCGCAGAGTTCTCCGGGGACACTTTGTAGGTTAGGTCCACTGCATTCTTGTGTGTACCTCATCTTTTTCAGAACTCCATCCACCCAGGTTTTTTAAAATTTCACATACTGTGCTTTTCAATTCTAAAATTTTCATTTGCCTCTTTTTTTAAATGTTTTCTCTTTTTCTGCTGAGAATTCTCTTCCTCCTATTCATTTTAGATGTGTTTTCCTTTGCCTCATGGAGCTGTATGAAGTCTTTGTTTAACAGTTCCGTCATTTAAGTCATCTGGAGGCTGGCATCTGTTGATTGCTTGTTCCCTTGGGAACTGGTGACATTTCTCTGGAGTAGTCTTGATTATTTAGAATTTGGGATTATAGCCTTGCCATTACTAATGCCATTTTGGTTAGACTCTGGGATTTGTCATAATATTCCCCCATAGGCTGTCCCCTTCAAGTTTTAACTCCCATCTACAATCCATTTGCACATGTTTAATTTCAAACATCTTTAGGTTGCTTCTTTTGGTATTTTTTTTTTCAATATTCATCATAGACTTTAGCATTGGGAAGAAGGCCTTGGGGTCTCTTTTTCTTTGTTTGCATCTCTGGATCAGGATTTGCTGTGTTCTGAGTGTGAATGGTAAAAGAGAAAAGCTGTAGTTGGCATAGTTTATCTTGTCAGTGAGTAATGGTTTGGTTTGACATTTTCTTCAACATATACCTCCCAAAAAATACCTGTTAAATAGAGGAAGAGATGAACTGTCTATTTACCAAAGTCCTTTTGGATCTGTGCTTGAATTATTTTCTTATTGTCATTGTTTGTTTCTTTTTCTTTCCTTAGTTCACCCAAAGGCTCCCGAGAGTGTCCAGTTTGAAAATGTAGGCGCCACATCTGCCGTAGTGACTTGGAAGATTCCTGTCCTTGGGAATTATTTCACACTTTTGTGTCAGATTGAACTCCATGATAAAGAAGATGTGAGACGGGTGAGAACACTGCATAGGTAGACATAGTCGTGTACACCTGTAATCCTAGCACTCTGGAGGACTGAGGCACAAGGCTAGCGCAGGCTGGACAGTTTAGTGATTGTACAAGACCCTTACTCAAAGGAGGGAACTTAAAGGAGGAACCGAGGAATATGGCTCAGAACCTATATCCTTTAGGGACTGAACAGACAGACTAAAATCACTTTAAACTCCTTTCTGTGTGGGGTCAGTGGTGTGGGTCATCTGTGTAAAGAGGCCATGAGTTCACCATAGACTTTAGCACTGGGAGAAGGCCTTGGGGTCTCTTTTTCTTTGTTTTCATCTCTGGATCAGGATTTGCAGTGAATTAAGTGCACCAATACTTCTATCTCTACATTTTTTTCCCTGTTTCTTTCTTTTCTCTTCTCAAGGAGCACAATGTCTCCATCAAGGTGAACGGTGAGTTTCTCTTCAGTGAGCTGGAGCCGGACACAGAGTATGTGGTCCACATCCGCTGTGCCAACAGCAAGCGCTTTTGGAAATGGAGCGAATGGGTCACTCATACCCTTGTCACAGCTCAAGCTGGTATGTTTGGCTCCCCGTCATTTACCCCTAGGAACACTCAGGTTCAGGAAACGGATTGGGTTCCCCGAGCACCTTCCACTTTCACCAAAAACTAAGAGGGAAATATGGAGACAGAAACAGGAAACCATTTTAAAAGACTGGATTAAAGATTGGCCTAATGAGTGGGTAGACATCAACTTCAATATTGGATGTCAGTATTATTTCTACTGTAAATTTTCTCTCCTAACTTTTCTAAGAGTTTATAAGCCACTTCTATTGCTGTAGTCACATTGGATGTAAATTAGGATACAGGACGTTTAATTCAAGACCGGAAGCAAGCACTAGTGTTATAAAAGTTGCTGGTTTTACACTAAGCAAATAAATCGTGTTTGGAGATGGAATGTTATTTGGATCCTTGCTCTTTGGTAAGTGGTTTGTTGCAGCTACCAGGTCTCTGCTCTGCCGCTCTTGGTGGTCGAATTTCTTCAGTACTGACTACAGTTTCCTTCCACTAATAAGTTATGTCCTAAAACTCAAATGGGCCTCAGAAGAGATGGCCCGTTCCCAGTTCTCTCCAAATGAAGGCCTTACTGTGCCTGTCCTCCAGACGAGGCCGCGTGTATCCATGGAGGGAAGTGATCCCCAGTTTGTGGTTGTAACGGGTGGCAGAGATGCGATGGTACAACACCAGCTCACTTCGACTGTGTGCCCGCCAGAGCTCCAGGTGCTTATTGTGCTGTTCTCTTTCATCCTTGACACGCGTGTACGTGGTATTATTATCCTCATTTTACAGACGAGGACAACAAGGTAGAGAGAGGCGCAGCGATTTTTCTGGCTTAGCCAGCGAGTGACCGAGCTGCCACTCAGCCACACAGCCTGGCTTCCACATGACTGCTCCTCTGGGTTGTTATTACAGCTTTGCAAATCATGTTGATTCACATCCTGGCTATGTTACTGCCAGAGGGAGGATTATAAGAACTCTTTTTATTCTTGCTGTGGAGGTGGGGTCACAGCTCTTTCTGTGGTTTTCTCGGGGGACTGTTTTAAAGCAGTAGCTCTAACGAGTGCAAAGTCAGCCAATAAGAAGCTGTTGTATATAGTGTCATCCGCTGTGTAGCGGCAGTTTTATTTTGAGCAGTAGTTTACAAGCCAGCTGAATGTTTTCTGACACTGTGCCAGAGATTTCAATAAAGTATTTATTTTAATACTGGGTTTTTTTGGGAGGGTACTGGGAATTGAACATAGGACCTTGCCTTTCCCAGGCAGGTGCTTTGCTGCTGAGCTATATCCTCAGGCCAAATACTGGCTTTTCCAGTATGGCTTACTTAGTGAACTGAAATCTGCTTAAATTAAAAACAAAAACAGGAAGTTATCTTTAAGTTGAGTATTATATTGGTCAGTTTTTCAGTTGCTGGAATAACACTTGCAATTTAAAGGAGGGAAGCTTAGTTAAATGCCAGAGGTTTCAGTCCTGGCTGACAGCTCCAGGCAGAAACCTCATGGTGGAAGGGTGTGGAGAGCAAAGCTGGTCAGACTGTGGTGCCAGAGGGGAGAGGAAGGGGCCACGGACCCCATCTCGTGAGGTGTGCTCTCTGCAGGGTAGCTCCCAAGATAATCAATCAGGTTGATAAGGGCCTGCCTGTCACAAGCAGAAAGAGTCAGTAACCAGCACAGTAAACGTAACTGACCTAAGTGTTAACTTGGGAGTATAGTAGACTGCAAGAGAGAGATGGGTCTTCGTGTTACTTTTCCAGAACAACTCTTGCAAAGAGCTGTTTTCCATCAAATCACAAATTACCTACTTTCTCATAAAGGAACAAAAAGGTGAAACATCTTGTTAGTTTTGTTAATTTGTGATGGTTGCTGTTTAACACTTTAAAATTAATTGCCTTATTTATTTATGTAATTATTTTCCCTACCAAAGATTGAATCCAGGGCATTCTCGCTGAGGTCTATCCCAGCCCTTGTTAAAAATTTTTTAAAATTTTGAGACAGGTCTCTCTAAGTCACTGAGTCACCTGGGATGGGCTGGAACTTGCAGCTCTACTGCCTCAGTCTGCCAGAGTGCTGGCATCACAGGCATGGACTGTGGGAGATGATATTGTTTTATTTTCAATTTGTGAAAGTAGCGACAGGATTTTAGTACATTCACAAAATGTAGTTGAGTAGAGAGATGTTTTTAAGACTGGACTTGAAGAGGAAGTTTGCTGTTAGGGCCTGCTACAGGGTGATGACAATACTTGGGAGTTCTCCTCCCCTCCTCTCCCCTCTCCTCCCCTCCACTCCCCTTTCCTCCGCTCTCCTCCTCTCCCCTTTCCTCTCCTCTCCTCCCCTCCTCTCCTCTCCCCTCCCCTCTCCTCTCCTCCACTCCCCTCTCCTCTCCTTCACTCTCCTTTCCTCCCCTCTCCTCCTCTCCCTTCCCCTCCTCTCCCCTCCCCTCTTGTCCTCTCCCCTCCCCTCCCCTCCTCTCCTCCTTTCACTTGCCCTTTTTTATTTTGTTATTTTCAGCTATTCTGAGTCAGTGCCTCACTGCATAGCCCAGGCTTGGACTCATGACCATCCCTGCTTAGTCCAAATTCAGGGCTGCCAGGCATGCACACTGCGTGTGGCAGAGCTGATGCATCTCTGTGGACACACTAGCAGTGAAAGCCAAATCGTTCTCATGGCTGAGGAATGTTCCAAATACATTTTCACTATTTTTCTTTTGTCCTATGCTTATTTAAATACGACCATAACAAAACTCAGAGTGAAAAGTGTGATTCCCTATAGAATATAGATTATTACACAAATATTAAACAAAATGACTTACGAACTGAAAACCATGTGTTCATTAGAACTTTAGTAGTATCTTTAAAAATATACTTCTTGAAGAATTTAAAATAAGTAATATTGCTTTTATTATTTCTTTCCATCACCAAGATACTTGTTATGTGTATTCACTTGAACATTTCAGGTAAGCTGAAGCTTCACATGACTATATATTTCCTAAAGGAGCATAATGTCATGGCCGAGACCCTATCTTGGGTTCAAATCTTGGCATGATGTGAGTGATTTTGAGCAACTAATCTCATCTCTGTAGACCCTAGCTTCCTCATCTACTGGAAGGATAAATAAGAATATCAACCACCTAGAGCTAGGAGAACTAAGTGAGTTGGTATATAGAAAAGAGGACTGGCCTGGGAGTCGGTAACCCTGCTGTGAATATCAGCTATCATTTTGTATAATTGAGATCTTCCCAAGCAGTTTTATGTGCAGGCACTCATATGTAGCTGACTCAAATTAAAAGATTTGGTTCCCTATGATAAATTGAGCAAGCACAAATTCCATGGAAATCAATCAACCAATAGTAAAAAACATTTGCATGGATTTTTGAGCAAGCTATAGAGACAAGAAAAACAGATTTTGGAGCATTTAGGCTGGTTCTCTTTTCTAGGTTCTCTCATTTCTAGGTTCTCTTGTAGTTTGCTTTTTATTCATTCAAACACTGTTTATAATGCTTTTATTAAAGGTTATGCCCCGAGCCATCTGTGACAGTGTCAAAGTCAAATGAGGCAGGCTCTTGGGTCCTGGGTCCTATGACTCATAGAGAGAGGGACAAAGGAAGCAAATTATTCTGGAACACCGTAGCGAGACCAGCTTAGAAAGCAGCGGGCAGCAGGTGCCCTGCATGTCCACAGCGGGCAGCTGACCCAGGCTCAGGCAGCAGAGGGGGACAAGGAGGTATTTCTAGTGACTTCAGCAAAGGGTCTGCAGGGCAGCTCAGCCCCTCCCCTTGAGGCCCCAGTGGCAGCCTTGGCAAATGGCACCAGGAAGTAGCAATGGCCTGCTGCCGAGGAAGCCCAATGTAGGAAATTACCTAGTTTACTTTCTAAAACTGATTTAACTGACAGATGACTTCAGGATTTTTTGTTGGCTTCCAGAAGTTGTCGGACTTGACATTTAGAAAGGCTTCTAGTTTGGTGTCCTTTCAGGGGCAGCTGATCTTTTCTAAAGCCCCTCCTCTATGCCCCCCACAGAAGAGTGTGCACTGTGACTGTGGTAAGTGAGCAGAAGTCATAGACTGAATAGGTGAGGCACAAACCCCAGGAACAAGCAGGCGTCTTCACGGTCTCAAAGGCTGAGTGTGTGTCTGGCTGTGCACACATCGTCTGACCCAAGGACTGTTTTTGGTTAATTTCAGCTCCCTCCAAGGCTCTCGATGTCTGGAGAATAGTGAAGTCCAGCAAAGGATTTCATAATGTGACCTTATTCTGGAAGGTAAGTCGTGCAGCTTTAAAATGTCTAACTTGCTTCCACTGTGTTTTTCACAGGGACACTGATTGTTAATAGTCTCTCCGTGGTGAGAGTGTAACAGCAATCTAATAAAACTGCTTACCAGTGGAGGACTGTCACTGCACACTCATGTCCTGATTCTCGTGCTGTAATTCTTCTCACAGCCTGTGCCACTGATGGCTAGTTCTGTTTACTAGAAACTTCTCTGTAAATTCTCCTCAAGCCTAGTCCCAGGGCCCAGAGCAAAGTATACATGGACAACCAGGCTTGCCTCAAACTTGTGATCTTTCTGCCTCAGCCTCCTGAGTAGCTGGGATTACCAGTGTGTGCCACTGCACCCCGCTCATAATTTTAAAATATGGTGTGTGGATGTAACCTAGTGGAAGAGTGCCTGCCTAGGGTTCCCAGGACCACAGAAAGTAATTAAGTATTCATTTGTATTTAAAAGTACAAGTCAACCTGTAAAACTGTAATATAAACTTATTTTCTTTCCACCTGGCCTAATATCCTTTGTGACATCCTGGAAGGCCAGCTTGGCATTTAGAAGTCTTGGGTTCTCCAGTGTTTCAGACACAAACATGATGACATGAGAGAGTGAATCTCCCGCCAAAGCTTGCCCTGCTTCCCCCCACCTCTCATGCGGCACATTCTGCAAAGACTTTGTGCACACAGATGTGGACCTGCCAGTGTCGTGAGCAGGTTCTGTCCACATCCCAAGTAGCCTCTTTCCGGCCTCAGGCCAGAGATGCAAACAGCAAGGCCCAGTGTCTCAAGGTGGCTGATAAGAGCCTGGATTGTGCAGGCAGGAACCTGAGGATCTTGCAGAAGGGAGGTAGGCTCTGGGCGTGGGAAGGGCACAGCTGGATGATGGAGGGGAGCCTCTGGGGGTGTGGTCCCTGTCGTTGGGTCTCCTCTCAACTGTCCCCTGCACATTTGTTTTGCTTCCCAGTTGGAGTGTCCTGTCCTCTTGAGTCCAGGTTGCATCTCTCCTCTATGGACAAACTGTCTTGAGCAGTATCTCCAAATCACATCCTCCCTACTTACTTTGGTTAGATTAGAGTGCCTGATGCCCAGCGTGGTGTGGAGGACTATTTCCATTGTTAAACCGTTTGAACTTGCTGGTGTGTGTGTGTGTGTATATGCACATGTGGGTGTCAGGCAGCTAAGGGACAGGAGAGATGAAAAAGAAATTACACAAAAACCTAAAATCCTTTCAAAGTAAAATCCATTGTGAAATGACTGTCAATATTTTTTTCAGCCGCTGTCCAAATCTCATGCCAATGGCAAGATCCTATTCTATAATATAGCTGCAAAAAATCTAGATAATGAATCTGAGTTAAAACTCTTGCGTATCCCTGCACCGGCCAATGGCACAGAACTAACCCTCGACCAAGGTTCTTACCAAATCCAAGTCACAGCTAACAACAGTGTGGGTACTTCTCCTGCCTCGGAGATTGTCATAGCTGCAGACTCTGGGAATGGTGAGTTGGTTTTGTTTTCATTTTCTAGGAAAGTGTGGTAATATTGCCAAGTAGCTATAGATAAATCAAGAAGACGGTGCCTTGGGGAGATAGCAACCAAGCATTATTAGTGATTTCCTTCTGGGCTAGGTGAGACCATTTCCTCATGGTGGAGGGAGATTTTAGCTATAGCTCAGGTCATTTCTGTCTTAGTGTTCTTCAACATACTTGGGGAAATGATCTCAAATTTATTCCAGTAAATGCAACCCCACAAATAGTTGTTACTGAGAATTATATCAGTGCTTTGTGACTTGTGAAAGGTGAGTTGCATTTACTGTGTTGTAAAAAAGTTTTGTTAATGAGCCTATGAACACTTACAGAAGTAATAAGACCAATTGGCATCATCTTTAAAGGAGGTGCTTTGACAGTTTTCTAGAATGAAAGGTGATCACTGACCAGTCTTAACCTGCAATAGAGCAAGCCAGGTGCAGTCATTAGTGATGGCAGTTTGTGTATTGGTAGAGTCCTAGGAAAGGTTGAGTACAGTAACACTTCTCAACCCTGTGCTTTAAGATGATGCACATGTGGGCATAATTTGACCAGTAGTTGAATTAAGATTTTTTTTTATCTACCTTGCAGTAATGTCACTCTTTAGTTTCTGATGTACCATTTGTGACCTGCTTCTAAAGTTGTACCAATTATTCCCCTTTGCCTTAAATTCAGGTTAAGTGGGCCAGTGAGAGGGTGGTTTTATTAATTAAGTGATTAATTATCTTGAGGCAGGGTCTCACTGTGTAATTCAGGCTGGCCTTGATCTTACAACAGTCCTCCTGTCTCAGCCTCTCAAGTGCTGGGATTACAAGCATGCACCAACATGCCTGGCTCTATTTTTTTTTTCTTTTTGAGAACTACCTGGTATGTATCAGAAAAAAGAAATTCAAGTTATACCACAAAAGAAAAATTAAGTTTGTGAATGAGTATATTAGTAAAAGGAGTGAACAGGTGTGTCCTTGGCCTCATGTGGACCAGAGCAGACAAAGTGGGCATTTCTGAGGGAACTGGTGGATGACAGAAAGACCGCGCCTCGGGGGGGTGGTCAGACCTACATGCTGTTCTGAGTGCGGGGTCTTCTCTGTCCGTGGGTTCCTACAGTGCCTTCCATCCCTGTGTCCTGCCTTCAGGCTCCCAGCCCTCTTCCACGTGAGGCTCTATCTAGCCTGCCTTAACTGGTCCCTATTCTTCAATCTATAATGTGTATAAAGGTGTTACTTGCTATGAGAAAAGAAAGGCTAAGCCAATTCACAGTAGGATGTGAGGGGCTGACATAAAAGATACCCTTACTTTACTTGCGTGCTTCAGAACATAGTTGCAATTTTAAAAAAGCAGCTTGGTAAGAATTATAGTCAAGGTATGGAGTTTAATTTTAGCCTGGATAAATCAGCAAAGTGAAACATGCCTGCCTTGGCATGAGGGAGGAGTTTGATTATTTGAGGGAAGAAGATAAGGAAGCCATAGATGGAATTCATAAAGCCTTCGTAGGCTTTTACCTTCCAGGTAGGACTACATATGCCTTTCAGTGTGTGCAGCTGTTTAACCATTTGATGTCCTATAAAAAATAGTCCTATGCTTTCATAGCAGTGTTCACTTGTAATCTGAATTGCTATGGAGGATACCCTGTGAAATTTGAATTGTCAATTAAAAAAATCAGTTTTTAGTGCAAGCAGGAGGTCAAGGCATAATCGTTCCTTGAGGCTCCTTCTTCCAAATGTTAGAGGAAGCTGCCCTGCCATATAAAATAGGCTGGGATTGTAGCCTCTTTCTTAAATTAGGTTCATTTCCCGGCTTGGTCCAACCAGTTTACACCTACTTTTTTTTTTTTTCACTTAATACCTAGCCCTCCAGAAGCAGTAGTTAGTCCAGGACAGCCAGCTTTATTGTAAGGAAGCCAAGCTGCAGTAATTACTCACTCAAGAGATGGTTTTTGAAAACAGATTTAGTACCACCACAGGTCCAAGTCAAGGATGGGCAACTTTCATGGTAAAGAAGCAGATGCTGTAGGCTATGCAGGACTTACAGTCTTGGTTATATATCCTACACTCTCCTTGGTTGGTGTATTTATTTTTACAAATCCTTCTTGGCTCAAGGGTAAGTGAAAACAAACCTCAGAGCTAAAATTGTCCTGCTGGTGACAGTTTTTTGACTCCTGTTGTAAGGGCCAGAGTCTGCCTGGGTCTCTGGAGTCCAGGATACAACATAAGTGCAAGTCAGCTGTGAAGTAAAGACAGGGAAGACTCGTGGAAGCATTCTACACCCAACTCCTGACTCGTAGCTGTGAGATATGGTTTTAGTCAGCTTTCTGAAGCTGTGAAAAAATACCTAATGTAAACTTATAAGGAGGAAATGTTTATTTTGGATCATGATTTCAGAGGTTCAGTCCGTGGTAAACTGGTGAGTCAGCACATCACGGTGGGGAGAGCATGGTGGCGTTCAGGCACTCACCTCAGGTCCAAGAAGCAAAGCGGGAAAGAACGGTACCAAAGTCCCCGTAACACTTGAAAGGATACAGCCCCGTGACCTAACTTCTCCCATCTGAGCCCCACTTTGTAAAGGTTGACAAACAAGCCTTCAACAATTAGCCTTTGGAGGACATTTTAGATTCTACATACAGCAGATATTTTGCATATGTAAGTTTATTTTCCTCTTTAGAAACTTTTAAAGAGTCCCAATTAAATCAGAAGCATTGCTCTCTTTGTTTCTGTGCAGAAGAGGTTGAAGAAGAAAAAATTAATGGCACCAACGATGGATTTCTTATATCTTGGAAACCCCAATCTGGAGAGGTGACAAGTTACATTGTGGAGTGGTGTGAGCACCCACAGAACCTGCACTGTGATTTACAGTGGAAGAACTTAGGTCCCAATACCACTGAAACATTCATCAGTTCAGGTAAAAACTCCCATGACATCATCCCATTGCAGCGCCTTCAACAAGTTCAACCAGGTTCATTGGTCTACCTCCCAGACGTGTGCTAAACTACTAAAGTTAAAAGGACCAAACCAGCCTGGACGCTGGTAGTTCACATTTCACAAAAACATATTCTAATATTTGAACTTTAAACATAGTTTTCCAACGTATGTAGATATAAGGTTTGCATAGGTTTTCCAGTTCTGATGAACTTGTTCCTCTCAATTTGTGGTCTCAAGTAGGTGACAAGAGACATTGCCATACTTACCCAGTTTGTACAAAAACAGAGACCTGCATGTTTTGGAGAGATGTGTAGGAAATAAGAGTTGGTGGAATTCAATCAGAAACTCCTTCAGTTTAAATAAACTCGTGGAACTTTTAAACTCTCAGTTTCTAAATTGGATTTATCACTTGAAGATTGCTAATTAACAAAGTCAAAGAGCCCCAGTTTGAGTTTGTGGTTTAGGCAGGAGGGTGGGTGGCGCCATCTACTGGAAAGATGTGGAAAGTTTCTGAGTCCCAGCAGCTACAGGGCTTTTGCCATTTTTCAGTGACCCAGAGGGTTCTGGGGCGAGATTGCAGAGATGCAGGTGCAGGAGGAACTGAGGAAATGGAAGCAAACTGTTCAAGGTCCGAGGCTTTAATGAAAAGAGCAAAAAGAGAAGCAAATGACTTTAAGGAGATTGAAGTCACCGGAGGATTTAAGATGGCTTTATATGTTTGGTCCAATGGTGTTCCCAGTATTTTGTGCATGGATGAGGGCATAGTGGAGAGCTGTTGCTTGAGGGGACACTGCAGAGGACAGTTCCTGTTGGGCACCACCCCACGGGATCAAGTGTCTGCAGCACGAAGCATGCTAAGGCTTAGCAGGAGAAAAGAGTGAAGAAAAATGCAGGAAATCTGAGAATGAAATAAGCAGAGTAATCCAAATTCATTTTTCAGTCTTTCTTTTCAGAAGGAAAGAGACCATTCTGTTACTGAAAATCTGTTGGTTTTTCTCCTCTAGAGGCTTTTACACCAGGGATCCGATACAGCTTCAGAATTTACAAACTATCCACAGAAAAGACTGCTTACTTAGTAGAGAAAAAAACAGGATATTCTCAGGAACTGGGTAAGTTTGAAGCATTTAATGTATCTCTTGTGAACACTTGTTCAAAACCGTCCATAGATTGCTAGTTTGGGGTTTAGGAAGTTTTCATCCACTTTCATAATTTTCATAGTCCCATTTATTCTGGGAAATGGATTTTAAATATTATTTTCCAGTCCTACCAATGTAAGACATTTTTATTAAAGGCAGTTTATAAAAGTATTATGCAAAAGGAGAAGGTAAAAAAATCCTTGCTAATTTTAATATCCAAAGGCAAAAATCCAGAGTTAATATTTTAGGTATATCCTAGTATTTCCCTTTTCTATAAAAATGGGATCTAATTCTTTACATTTTGTAAACTGCTTTCTTGATTCATTCTTATTTAATGTTGTTTTCCTTAATGTTGATGATCTATTGTATGCATGCGTCAAATCAACTGTTGTTGGACAATTTAGAATTACTACCGTGATTTTCACCTGTGAACTATAAAATTCATTTTCAAGTAAAAGTTTCCCTCCTTTTTTCCTATCCGAATCTTCTTTTTTAAATCTAAGTCCTTGTCCTTATGCATAGGATGGTTTTCAAGTGAAGTCCCAGATGTGGACTACTCAGGCCAGCCCAAATGCCCTTCTTGTGAGATTTTATGGTCAAAAAGTTCTCACACAAATGAGGAACTAAGCAACATGTCAGGGGAGGGTTTTAAATCACTTTAAAAACACGAGGGGCCTGCCAGTCTGATTCAAAGGGTTGGAACTTTTAATTTTTTCATTTTGCTTATAGTTTTTAAGATGCTCCAGACACGTTGTATAGTCACCCCTTTAAGTTGCCAGCAGTGTCACCATCCCTGTGGCGCCATCTACCTTTCCCTGCTTACCTTCTTCCACAGCCAAGGCCTCACAGCTGCCAGCTGTGCCCAGGGCCCTGAATCACTGGCACTCATGGCCATTCTGGGAGTGGGTTCCTCTGGGAGTCTGTCCTGGTTTTAGCTGCCATCAGGTAGGCAAGAGGCGCACTGTTTCTGTGTGTCCATGTGCACAGACCAGAAGAGTCTTCAGAATAAATGTTCCCAGATGTTTTTCAGTGGCGTTTGGATAACTACATTGCCTCCATCTGGGAATTAGAATTCTTCAAAAACGCCTCCTTGCTTTTTTCCAAAATAACCCTATCTCTTTCTCCCATTTGTCTTCATGTCAGAACATTCTTGGTGGTTGACTCTTCCCTCCAATGTTAGTTAGAATTCACGAACAAAAAAAGAATCAAGTGGTCCTGTGAAAGTTACCTGGCCGCTCTGGGTATCGGTTTCTGCATCAGTGAAAGTCAAGGCCTGGTTTTTCTCTTTCCTAACTTTTACAGAGTCTCTTAAGGCCAGCAGGTAGAACAGGCTGGCATGTGCTGGTACAGCCACCAGAGCTGGCTGTGCTTGTGTGTTCAGTATCCGTGCCTTTGCTGATACTATCTCCAGACCATGAAATTTTCTGCCCGACTTCCTCTCTTAGCCCCTCTGGACAGCCCGCAAGTGGCCGTGAAGAACTTGACATCGCACTCCTTCACTCTGAGCTGGGAGGACTACGACACTGAGCGCCAGCCAGGCTTCATACGAGGGTACTATGTCTGTCTGAAGTCCAACGCCACTCACTGCCACCCAGGTTCTGTAAAGGAGAGTCTGCCAGGTGAGGTGGCATTAGATTTGTTTATGCTTCCAAGATCTCGTTATTCAAGAGCATGGAGAAGGCTGCCTTCTGACTGTGGCCGGTCCAGGTGCCCTTCTTGTGGGGTTTTATGGTCAGAAGGTTCTCAAACAAATGAGGCAGCTAGGCTGTACTGGGCTGGGAGGCTGTTTCAACTTACTTAAAAAGCAGTGGGGGCCTGGCCGTCTGATCCTTAAAATGTCTTCTTGCTGCTTATGGAACTGTTTGTGCCGTGTTTTCTTTGACTTTGTTAGATGTTACTACTACTTGGGTTTTCGGTGGTGTATGCTAAGCACGTGTTCTACTCCGAACTACAGGCCCAGCCCTTAAAACGTCTTTTAAGTTTGTTCCAAGTCCTTACAGTCTCTGGAAGATTCATATGCTCTACCTATGTCCCCAGTATCTCTCTCTCTCTCTCTGTCTCTCTCTCTCTCTCTCTCTGTCTCTCTCTCTCTCTCTGTCTCTCTCTCTCTGTCTCTCTCTCTCTGTCTCTCTCTCTCTCTCTCTCTCTCTCTCTCTCTCTCTCTCTCTCTCTCTCTGGATTGAACCCAAGGCCTTCATACTGAGCTATATCGCCAGCCCTTTTTTAGGTTTTATTTTAAGTCGAGGTCTAAGTCACCAGGTTGCAGACTGAACTGGATTTGCCATCCTCCTGCCTCAGCTTGCTAGGCTACTGGGATTACAGGTGTGCACCGTCCCCCCAGAATTCACATCCCTTCTTCAGTGGACATTTTTCTTACTGTGTGCAGGGACCGAAGGGTAGTAGAACTATTGGGCTTTTGGTTGGTTTAAAATGTTGATAATGCTGAGACCACAAAGATATTAGTGTCCGGTTCTCGCACAAAATGTCTAACACTTAATAATTCTTTTTTCTTTTGAAATTAAAAAAAAAACAGATAAATCAACATGTTGTAAACATGACATCAGCGACCCAAAACAAAAGACGTTCCTGGTGAAGGATCTGCAGCCTGAATCCTTCTACGAGTTTTCGGTCTCTTCCTACACGAGCGCTGGCGAGGGCCCCAATGGAACTTTCACCAAAGTCACGACCCCAGAGGGACGCTGTGAGTTTTTTTTAAATCAAAACACTTTTCTGTAGAGTTTATAGGAAAATCATAAGAGAAGTGTGGCCTTAGATTTTACCTACACCAGGACTTTTAAACTGTTCTTCCCCAACCATCCCTCTTCTCCTCACGTCTTTTTCATTTTTTTGTAACACACGCACACTTTTTTCCCCCCAGTCAGACCAGGCTTCATGTTGACGCTTGCAGAGTATTTGGAGTGTAATAAACATGTAAAATTATTCTCACTTATAAGTTTATGTTTCATTTTTTGCAGAGGTTGAAGTAGTTTTTTTTTTTTTGTTACTAGGGATCAAACTCACGACCTCACACTTGCCAGGCAGCTGCTCATGCAGGTGAGCTAAATCCCGGGCAGAAGTGATTATTAAAAACCTTCTTTTCCCTTCTTCAGCCCACATGCTGATTTATGTCGTACTGCCCATGACGCTGTGTGTCTTGCTCATCGCGATCACGTGCTACTGGAAGAGTCAGTGGTAAGTGTGTGGGGAAGGTTTTATTCAAAGAGAGAAAACCCTAAAGGTGTTTATTAAGATAGTAATGGCACTAATGTGAAACACGTGCGAAAAATGAAAAAGGACACGGCCTGGGTAGGAATATCGAATTTGATAATTCTGATTGCTGTGACAATGCTGAAGAAAACAATAAGCACTTAAAACAAAGAGTTTGCAAATGTTTTTCAGTAGCCATAGCTAATATTTACATGTCACTATGTGCCTGGTGGTGGAAGAAGTGCTTTCTGTGGAGTAACCCACTTCATCCTTGTAACAGCCCTGTAAGTCCTGCAGTTATCTCCCTTAAGCCAGTGAATAAACTAAAGCATGGGAGACTTAGGAAAGCTAAGGGATAAAGCAAGAATTGGAAGCCAGAAGTCTGACGCTAGGATGCGCATTTTCAGTGATTCCATTCAATTGTGAAATTCAGTCTCAATTTCACTGTTTTCCTAGGGTGAAGGAGAAGTGTTATCCTGACATTCCAGATCCTTACAAGAGCAGCATCCTGTCGCTAATAAAGTCCAAGGTAAATGTGGAGAAACTGTATCTACACCACGTTCCTATTAAGGACTGATCCAGGTCTGGACTATGTTAATCATTCTTTCTTAGACCTCGCTGAGAAAATATAATAAATTAGAGGCATCTCTGGTTCGATAGTCATGAAATAAATAGGTGGCTGGAGGGCAGAGTGTAGCTCAGCGCTGGAGTGCTGCTTCTAGCATCCATGAGTCTCGGGGTGCAGTCCCAACCCCGAAAAAGAACAAAAGAAGAGGAGGACCAAGAAGGAGAGGAAGGAGGAGGAGAAGGAGAAGGAGGCAGAGGCAGAGGGGGAGGAAGAAGCAGGAGGAGGAGGAGGAAGAGAAGTAGGAGGGGAAGGAGGAGAAGGAGAGAAAGAACCACGAAGAAATAGGTGACTTGAGCTCTGATTTCTTCTGTCAGTGAAAAACTGGTTTTCAATGTCAGTTCCAAGGTAACTTGTGATAAGGAAGAAGTGTGAACAAAACTGAAGCTTCAAGTGCACTTTGCGTTAATATTTTGCTGCATGCACACACCCATTTATATTTACATGTTTTTTGTTTCTTTTCCAGGAGAACCCTCGCATAACAATAATGAATGTCAAAGACTGCATTCCAGACGCCATTGAAGTTATAAACAAATCAGAAGGGACCAAGGCGGGATGTATGGGCACCTTGAAGCCGCTCACAGGAAGTGAATCCTCCAAGCCTGCCAACAATTACCAGGATTTCCCCTGCCCTGCCGCCTGCATCTCTTTTGAGAACTTGACCTATAATGAGTCAGCTTGTGACTCTGGCTCCTGTGCCTATATCCCAGGACCTGCTACAGCCCTGCCATGTCAGCTGGGGCTGTTAGCCTCCCCTGACAATTTACCAAATACAGCAGAAGATGCACACACAAATTTCCAAGGGGATATCCCAGCTGGAGAAATTAGTTTGAATTATGTAGCCCAGCTGGCTTCCCCCATGTCGGGAGACAAGGATGGTCTTCTGATAAATCCTCCAGCACCAGAACTGTGCTCAGAGTATAAAATGCAAATGGCAGTACCCTCCCACCTCTCCTCGCCTGTCCCCAGTGAAATGGCAGCCTCTCCCGAACCTTTTTAGGTCAAGGTGAACACTGCCATTAATAAGCACCATCCTAGTTCACAGGCTACGCAGATGCCAACGGGAGGCTCCGAGCATCACATGTTCTCATCCCAGGGAAACGTCACTGTGTGTGTCTGATCTAGATCACACCACTAGGTTTGGCTACAATAAAGGCCAGCAGCTGTGGAACTTAACACTGCCCCCTGCAGGCTCACTGCAGAAATGAGAGGATCATGCAAACATGCTGACCTTGTTGTGTTGTTTTATTTTAGTAGACCTGAACTTGACATGGAGACAGGCATTAACCACTCACTCGATAGGCCCTGCCTGTACAGGATGGCTGTAGTTCTAGAGCTCAGTTTTTAGTGAGAAAATACTGCCATTAAGATTTACCCTCATGTTTTAGGGGTAAAGCAATTAGATTATAAGCTTTGATAAAAGCCAGAATAATAAATGTGAATTTGTGTCAGGCAAAAAGTTAATAGATGATAATAGAGACTAAAACATTTTAGACTTGCCTTGACATAGTAAGAATTTGTAATCCCCATTGACCATAAAATCAGCTTTTGGGAGTACACAGACCTAACCTAAAACGTGAGATGTTTGTATGAGTGAGATCTTCACAGTTCTGTGTAGCTTACTACAGTGGAGAGGTGGCAAGGCACTCCTGTACAATAGATATTTTTTCTTCTTCACTTTTGACTACCTCAGAATAGGGGGAAAAATATCAGAGTAACCATTTTTTTTAAAGAACTACATACCTGTAGTATACATGACTTATTTCTATTTAACTTCCCTTGGGTTCTGTAATAGGTTTGGGTCAAGAGAATTCTCATTATTTGTAGTATGCTAAAATAAATAAAATGAAACCTTATAATGAATATAATTTGAATATAGCCGTAAGAAGTTCTGTGAAGTGGGAAATTCCATTAGGTCTGTAGCAGCTAATCTCCAGTTGGCCTTACCTGTGCTGTAGTCTGGATATTCAACCAACCACAGGCTGAAAACATGCAGAAAAAAATGCACCTGTACTGAACATGTATGGAGTTTTTTCTTGTTAATACTCAACACCACAGTATAACATTTAGGTAGCATTTACGAGCTATTAGGTGTCAATATGACAAAGTATATTAGGAGATATGCATAGATTATGTACGATACCATTTTGTATAGGGACATGAGCACCCGCAGCTGTTGGTACCTGCAGATTTGCATCAGTGCCCCATGGACACTGATGACTGTGTATGTAGTGCATCTGGCAGTTCCTTTCTCCATGTTGTCAGCTATCTGTAGTGTCTGTCATCTCTAAACAAGCACGTAAGGAGATTCCATTTGTATTTTAGCTGTCGTCAAGGTGGTGACTGTCTAAACCCTTGGCTGTGCTACCAAATGTCAACACAATGCACGTATCCACATCTCAAATGGCTTAAAAATAAACCTTCACACACCAGTGCTGTTCTATTCAAGATTTCCAACTTTTTCCTTACTTATAACTGAGGCCTTTGCTGAAAATCTGGTTACGTCCTAACAGTGCAAGGTAGTAATATACTCTGTGCTTTTCTGTCAATTGTATTTTTATTTGAAACTTTGCTTTATAAATGTTTCCACGTAGACTGTCACAAAGCTTGAAGTTTTCCCTGCTGAAATAAGCCTCAATTAAAACATTTCACCTTCACATTTTTGGTGTATCTACTTCAACAAAATGGAAGTCTTAACAAGTACTCATTATAACAACTAAATCACCTCGTGAACTTAAAACTAAAAATGTAAATTCCTAGGTACATTTCAGACCTCCTAAGGGCTCCAGAGCACAAACCTGAAATCCAGTACTGTTCTGTTTAAGCTTTCCTTAGTTCCCAGGCATTCAGATTCACATTAAACTTTGACAGTACTGGCCTATATCACATAAAATGTTTTTGAAATACAGCAATACACCAGTAGGCAATGCTTGGAAATACAACTTTGTACGTACTATGACCTATAGTTGCAGCTATAAACATTTTTCTCCAATGTTTGTAATAACCAAGTATACTGGCATTTGAACCTTTAGTTTTTAATACTAAATGAATTCATCTTAGCATTAAGAAGTGCCACTCAGGAACTTTGAAACATATACTCGTGTCAGAAGTATCAACACTGAAAATACTGGAGTTTTAATTTTACACAGAATAGTTTAATGAAGTGTTACATGGGGTCACTAGCCCCCATAGCCACTTGTTTCAGCTGTTCACACCCATCCACATTCACTCTTCCTTACATTATTTTGAAGTAAACCATACTTCAACTTTGAATATTTTTCCTGTAACCATTTCTCTAAATGAACTGTACCTGTTTGTAACACCCTATTTCCCTGTAAAAAACTGTAATGAAAACCAACTCAGTAGTAATTCCCTACAACTATCATTGTATTTAGGTGGCAGACTGGACTAACATTCATGACTTATAAACAGTACATCAGTCTGCTGAAAGATTCCCTCGGTGCTGGGATAACTCAGACTTAGGCTGCAAGCAGGGACCTTTTTACACAGTAGTTAGACCTACAGAAAACACTGTGGACATTCTATCACCTATCTGTTTTATAGTTGATCTCATCTACTGGAATGTTTTTAAGAAAATCAAGTTGAATTAGACTTAGCTATTTCTAAGAGCTCTTGAAAACAAGCTGGCTTATCTCAAAGAATTTAGAGAACCTATAAAACACTGTACATGAAGTAGAACTTTTAAAACCCTAGAAAACAATGAAAGGAAGTCCACAGAACTAGCAGTTAAAATGGTACCTACAGCAAAACAACAATTTGAAAGACTAAGCATATGTAATTGGTTTAGTTTTCTAAGATAAACATTAAGAAAAACAAAGCTTTTACATAAAACAGCAGTACTTTTGAGTATATGCTAGAGTTTTAAAGAGAAAGTGCTTTGAAAAGATAGCTATGACTTTCTCCAAAAATCAGCTGAAGTATGCTTTTTAGTTTATTTGGGAACAAACTACATTTCTTGACTACAGGGGAAGGTCATGGGAAAACTGATACACAGAAATAAGTGTAAAGGCCAATTATCTGAAATAAGATTTATTTCTTAGACATATTTCTTAACGATATTAACTAACACTCTCCAGAATTAGTAGTTGCTTTGCCTGTGGGTATTCTTTCGCCACTAGATGGCCACAGGTTAACCTCGTGGTGGAGAATCTGTGGTGTGCGTGCCAGTGGACTGTATCACTAAAACTTCTGAAGGTTTTGCCATTACTGATTCAGGCTAGTTTATGAAAAATAATGCATTCCTACCTCAAAAGTCACCATTTGCATGTCATCATAGATATATTTTTTCCTCAGAAACCCAAAGCTGTTCTATATAAAGATATTTTCACTTTCCAAACACTTTACAATAATGACTTAAGATTTCAAAACTGTAAAGAGTTTTGATTAAATTATGCAGAATGTTTAAGAAAGCATGGTATAACTATTTTGAAACACAATGGTCACTTTATGTTACTGAACTACCCTGTACATGTTACCTACAAGCCACTTTTGCTGGGAATCGGGCGTATCAGCATCAGCACCACATGATTTAAAATTGCCGTCATGAGATCACAGATTGTTTTAAACTTTTAAATGTCATTGGGCTGGGGATTTAGCTCAGTGGCGTAAGCGCCTTCCTGGCAAGCGTGAGGCCATGAATTCCATCCCTGGTACATAAAGATTGATAGATAGATAAAATACCAAAATCACAAGTTTAAGAATTTTAAGTAAATTTTATTAACAATGTATCCCTTTGATAAGATTATGCTTCAGGAGGCTTTAATGCCCTTGACATAAACTGTACACATTATACAAAAACAAGTAAACCACAACAACAACAACAGAAAAATCAAGGTGAGCAAAACCATTCTGGGACAAATCTTTTTTAAATTATACACACGCAATGAAATATTCTTACAGAAAATATATAAATACTTTTTCTTTCTATGTTACAGTTATACAATATAAATCCGATTTCAATGTGTTCAGTGACCTACAAACACCATAACCTCCAAATATGTAGCAGCGTATTACTAAATAAAAAAAGAAAATCATGTGGTTAGAGAGCATCAATTCTTGAGTTTTCCACAACCCCTTACCACTCTTGAAAACTAATTTACATCATTTGTTTTATAATGCATCTTTAGGGTTTCTGACAGGTCAGTAATGGAACATTATTCAACAATCATCTATAAAAAGTTTTTCACTCCCCTCTCCACCCTAAGACTTTGCATTTTGTGCTAAATCAACCTAGTTAGTGGCAAAAATGTAAGATATGCTTATTTTTGGCATAAATTATATTTTTCAAATTATTTTATAAAGAACGTCAAACAAAATGTGCAATTTTTGCATGCTGTGGCGTCATTACCACCGACAATACAAAAATACTCCAAAGGCAGAAAAATCCACATTCTGTTAGTCTTCTATATAAACCTTCTATGAATGACAACTACCCTGGAACCTGGAATTAAAAAGGGAAAGGGAGTGGGTGTGTGTGTGTATGTGGGGAATGTTTCTAGAAAGAGTCTTACAGATTTCACTCAGTGTTTCTTGATAAGCACTGCCATTAATCTCACTGGTAAGCTTTTCAATGAAATTCTCACTACAGTTAACATTCTTGAAATTAAAGATGGTAACAATATATGTACTTTATAAATACAAAGATAAGGGAGACTTTCCCAATTTACATTCTGGAAAATCTGAAATGTTCATCCATTCCAAACAGTCTTTTATAAATTTCTCAACTAATTCTACCTTTTCTTTTTTTCTTATGTTTTAATAGATTGTGAATTTGAGATAAAAGTGGAAGCACAGGACTAAAAGGCAGAAAAATCCTTATTTCCAAAGAATGTTTCCCAAAGTATTAAAAGTTCTTCTCAAACGAAATTAGCACCTCGCTCTTACCACGCAAAAATAACTGAAGCTATAATTTGAATAACAGACAATTTGGTTTTTATTGCTTAATGATCTGTGCTTTAATTGGGGATAAAAGGCATCCTCTGAATGGAATGAAATAAAATTTTATGTAAATAGGAGGAGACAAATCTAAATAAGCACTGACATCTCACTGTTGAACATTTTGCCATTGCAACACATCCTGAAAAATTCAGTTTTATTTCAAGTTTTAGACCAAAGAGCTGAAAACTCTTAAAGCTACCATTTCTAATGGACTTGTACACTTTATAATAAAGTATATACTTCCAAAGAGCCTCTTTCAATGTCACTGTCTTTCAGAATGTCCTTCTGTTCAGAATGTCCTTTTGTTACTAATCTTTATTAGAAAAAATTTAGGGAGCACACACTCCCCCCCTCCAATATACCTAAGCACAAACAGGAAATAAAAGTACAAGAAATTTTAGAGCATATTTGATTATGAATACTAAATTTCTAATTTCCTTATTTACCAGTATTTACTTAGTATATGAAGCAGACATTCGTTCTTAAATTCAATTAGAAATGACAATTTAAATTAGAAATTCACAGTTTACAACCAGCGTAACAGATCAAATCCCTCCAAATTATTCAATAGTTACCAATAGTATAAATTTATATGGACTAAGATTAATTCTAAAATCTTGAAACTATAACATTGACATTATTTTGGTATATTCTATATTCTTGGTAATATCTATTATTTATAAGTTATTTTTCTCACTTATTTGTATTACCACTGACATCATTCCTAACCTTTTTGTATAATTTAGTATTTTTAAAAACTTAAGTTAATCACTTGGCACTGCATGTGTTTTTCATAAGTCTACTTGTATATAAACAAATACTCAAAGATAATGTATTAGACCTGTCATTGAAACCATGAAGAAACCAAATAACACTATGAATTTAACTGCAGACATTTGTTTCTTAGCATATTGAAAATCACAAAGTTCTGAGTGTCTTCCCAAAGTAAGTGCTATAAGCAGGCATGACAACATACACATACATGTCTTTCAAATGAACAGTGAAAGACAAAAACCTGTTCAGGCTAATAGTAACACCCTTAGTTTTAGGATGGGTAACTTAGGTGGGGTACAGGGATGAAGATCACTGTGTACACGTATGTGACAAAAGCAAAATTTCTGTTAACTTTTGAGGGATTAAACCACAGATTTTATACTGTATATGAAGTGAGGTAGTGTTTACAGTTAATGTCTAAAATATGTTAATCCGATTATGAGTAAGATTACTACATTACTTACTTTGAAGTTTTTAACCACTATTTGGTCTATTATTTCTGACATTTGGTTCTCTGGAAAGGCAGTTTGAATTACCTAAGACGAAAGACCAAGGTGACAGGCAACGTTCTTAGAAGCATTGCTAACATTTAAATAAACACTTGGGTTCAGTGGTAAAGTTAAAAACACCTATTTTACCTTCATTGAATCTATGAGAGAAAATCTGAAGATGCCTTTTTAACATAAGCAGCAGCTTACAGCCCTTATCTGCTTTGTTGCAATGCAAGTTGCTACACAGTGCACATAAGAACAATTCACTGAAGTGCAGTCAAAGAGGTGGTAGGAAGTGAGATGAAATGTTTCATCCCAAAGGGGAACTTTCAGTGCCAGTTTAAAAAAAAAAAAGGATCTCTGTGAGTTACATTTTCGAGTTCACAGGGTTCTTTTTTTTTTTTTTTTTTTTGTCTTTTTTCATTTTTATTGGTACCAGGGATCGAACTCACGACCGCACACTTGCAAGGAAGGCGCTTATGCCACTGAGCTAAATCCCCAGCCCCTGTTCACAGGGTTCTTTACAGAGATTCCAAAGAGTAAGACCATTACAAAAAGGATCTTCAACATGGAAAAATGTAAGGTGAACCAATGGCCTATGACTGTCAAAGCTGATGTGTAACTGTAAAAATGGTCTACACAAATGAATTTAAAAAGGGTCCTAATCAGTCCAGCTGGGTTTTTTTCTATTTTCACTTATATATAGATTTTTAAAAAGATAACCCTTTGATTTACAGGCATTCTAATGATGATAGACATGCTACTTTTATATACACAAATTTGCATATGTTTGATTCCTGTCAAGATTTCCAATATCTTTATACACACACAAATGAGACAAAAAAATCTTGCCCTCATCAAATTAACAACTTTGCAAATGTGATAAAAGCAATTATTGTACTCTTTAACTCACTTATCACTGCATTCAGTTTGTGCAAAACAAGAACACTGATACAAAAATTAAATTACCGCCTTAAAATGTAGTACTTAAGACTTTTCACTACAATTTCTAATCTCATTAACAAGTATTGTAAATCTTTTTTTAAAAAGAAATATGGCTGTTCTTTTCCCGTGGAATGTGTAAATTTCAGGAAAACTTAGCTTTTCCTCAGGTGATCCGAAATATTACTTAATGCTTTCCTTTGCTTTGGGTGAGAAATAATAGTGCTTGTTCATGTTCTTGTTTAAAAAGATGAGAGCTGATGATTATAGAATTCAGTCCACTGGAAATATTATAAATGGAAAACTGTATAAATGGCAAATATTTTTAACGGAACTATTAAATAATTTCAGTTCAATTAGGAACTGTAGTGAAAAACCTTAACTGATTCAAACAGCCTAGAAGAACACATTGCAACAGAACTGAAAAGATGGAAAACAAGTAAGAATCTTTACGAGTCTAATAAAAATAATTTATAAGTCCTGGGTTGTTGAGGCTCTTCTTTTGCTTTGAGGTTACCCACTTCTGAAGTAGTGTTACAAACATTAAGAAAACATGGAAGGGTCGAAGTTCCCTCTCTAATACCAGCAGTTATAGTACACCCCATTGTGGTAACAGGATGTAGCCTTATAGACACTGATTCTTAGTTTCCATGAACTAATTAAGAAACAAGGCATTTATTGACCCTAAAAAAAAAATAAAAACTGTATGAAGGGTGCTTCGGCATATCCTATTACTGTTCCACTGTTACTGTTTTTAAAATGAAAAAATAGAAAACCTGTGTAGGTATTCAGTGCTTGGCTCTTGCATTTGATGGTAACTGAAACTCTTAAAATTGTGATGAAACGGGAACCCTTCAAAGGGCTCAATACGGAGAGAAGTTGTTTTGGTTAGGGAAGTCAGCAGTTCCAACTGTTCATGTACCAATAATTGCTGGAACAGTGTACAGAAGATACTCCTGTCTTTGCTGCCCAGTCAGTCAGTATTTTCTGAGGCTTTTAGAAAATCCACAAATATGAATATATGTCGTATCTCTATATACATCATAAATATGAGGTCAGGATTCAGCAGATGTATCAACTATGGGTTGCTTTGGTGGTACTGCCAACACAGCCTCTGCTTCTTCATGCATCTAGGAAAAGAGTGGCAAATCTTTAATGACTTATAAACACAGCAAATTATATATATACATATATATATTTCCTTTATCTTAATTCAAACAATTATTCTTGAAAAACAAATTTTCCACACACCAAACCTTACTCACTTGTAAAAACTGTACATCTTGAAACAATTCTTGTATGAACCTCCGACATGGAAGTCTAAATGTGCAGTGTGACAGCAAATGAGAAACTTCAGAGTAAAGGCATATATCATCAAATGTTTGAGGATACTTCTCCTTAATTCTAAAATGAAAGAAAAAACTAGCATGAAATAAAAACTGCAGTCATGTTTTATGTATTTTTCCTCCTACTTATCATTTTTATAATATAGTTTTTTTTCTTCAGGTACTGATTAGATATATTATGTTTGGTGTGATGCTTAAGAATATATACTGTATTCCTGTCTCACACCAAAATGAGATATCTTGAGTCTCGGGTATTTTGTAAAGATTACCAAAACTCAAATGATTCTTGTCAAAAATATTCTTCTTCATTAGCGTCAGAAATGGCCAAATATATCAGATTAAGAGAACTCAAGTATCTTTAGAATTGAGTTTTGTAACAGAATTTTTGTTGTTGTTGCTGTTATTAGACTGAAGTTAATACTTTGGACTATCTATTCTGACACTTCAGACTGGTTTTTACCTAAAAGATCACCTCAGAATGTGAGCTACACATGGATGAAGACCCTCTCCTACTGCTCTGAGCCTAGAGGTTAACATGGGACCCTGCTGTCTGCATGGTCTTTTAGTAAGTCATACAGAGACACTGAGCTGCATTTCTTTTGGGAACCATTATATTAAACAGTGCAACAAAAGGGGAAAATAAGATGCTTAGAGTCCATCTGAGTATCTTTTCATGCTGCTGTAAATTAAAAAAAGGATAAAAACTATGCCACTTTTGATTAAAAAAAAAGAAAAATAGAACAGAACTAAATCAAGAAATGATCATTTGTTTTATGAGAGTCTACATTTCTTATGCTTTTTGGTCTTAGCACTCTTTACCTTTTAAAAATTTTTGAAGGCCACTAAATAGTTTGGATGTGTGTGTGTGCGTGCATATGTGCGTCTGTGTGTATGGATGGACTCCAATTATCAATAATTACCATTTCAGGGAATGAAACTGAAAAAATTCAAAATATTTTTAGTTCACGTAAAAAATAAAACATGTTAAAATAAATTTATAATTAATTTTAAAAAACTAAATTTCAAAACTAAAGAACAGTGGCATTGTTTTGGGGTAAACTTTGCATTTTTGTAGCTCTTTTGTAAAATCTGGCTTAAAAAAGATAAGTGGATTCTCACATTTACTTTTGCATTCAATCTACTGCTATATATGATTTAGAATGTCCCATGTATAAGAAAATCCAACCTCACACAGCTACACAAAGCAGTTTAGAACTGGTATTATCCTAACTTTTGAAGTATTTCAAGTATCTTTTCTCATCTTACAAAGCAAAACAATATTTATGCACAGAATTTACTCACGTTAAAAGTCCAGTTTCATGACATTTAGTTGAAACTGAACTACTCAAATTAATGACTAATCTTAGAACTTCTTTGCGAAGGAGTATACGGCACATTGGTGTATCATCTGGAATTGTTTTAACACCTGAAAGGAAGATTCCAGGGTGAAGTTATTTTACTTTATCACAATGTAGAATGATTGTAAGTCATGACTTTGTTTTTAAACTTTACCTAGACATCTGAAAATGCAATCAACTGCACGTGATCTGCCACTCATTTGAGACCAAAAGTCTAATAAAAGCAAACAACTCAGTTTACATGCGAGTGGCACATACAGGGTTTGATATGTAAAGTCTACTACACTGCTTCACTAAAACTGACTTGCCATAATTTTGAGACAATTTTATAGTATTTATGAAAAACAAAGCCAAATAACTACATTTTTATTAAAAATTCTTGGAATTGAAACAAAAAACTCACCTAGTAACAATTCTGTGCTTTTGGTGCTGCTGGCTGAGCCTTCTTGAGATACGCCATCACTGCATCCAGAAATCCCTGAAAACTTAGAGGGAACCACTTCTAAGGGATGGTGGATGGTCTGCTCACACCAATCAGAATATGTTATATCTTGAAGGTCTGGGGAAAATATATATCAGTAAGTATCAAATGGTTTAATTTCTGTACTATACTGCAGATGAGTCTAATTTATTTTTAGTAACTATTTAGTAACTATTCCGTGTGATAAAGATTTTTAAATTTAGACTGTGCAGAAAGCAACTACTGAGAAGTGTTTTTGTAATGGGTGAGGGATGGAGTCTCTTTCTTCTGCATATGCATATTCAAATTTGCTAGACAGTTTACTGAAGAGACTGTCTTTTCTACACATCTTTGGGGCTCCTGTCAAAGATCAAATGCTATACACCCATGGGTTTTATTTTTACATTTATTATTCAATAGTCTTTGAGTTTGTTTTCTGGTCAGTATCATTCTATTTTTATTATTTTTTTGTCTTTTTTTCGTTTTTATCGGTACCAGGGATTGAACTCAGGACTGCCTGCTTGCAAGGCAGGCACTTATGCCGCTGAGCTAAATCCCCAGCCCCTCTATTTTTTTTTTCAATTTTACTTCATCATATATATATATATATTTTTTTAATTTAAGGAGAAAAAGAAAAACAGAAAAAGGGTAAAAGTAGTACAAAATTTAAAAAATAAACAGTAGGAAATCACTAGTTAATAGATTACATATTCTCATCTTAGAAATAGTTATTCAAGTTACAAAATTGAAGCATATAAAGTGGACTTTCAAACAGTGAGAGTGCAAACAGTTTTGTTCAATGATCTAAAAAACACTCAGTAATATGGTTATCTATCTTATACACTTAAACATAAGCAGTTATAACCTTTAGAGCACTTTCTTTTCTTTTGTACAATGACAATTACACATTTTGGGTTTTATTACTCTCACAGTTCTTATTACTTTTTTGGAAGAGAGTAAAACCAAATGTGACATATCAGAACAGAGTCAGTCAAATCAAAAGGATGGACATAATAGATAATGTAAAAACAAAATACAAGGTGATCAACAATGGTTACCATACTGCCTCTTGCTATTTTAAGAAGAATTGCCAGTTATAATAAAATTGAACAAAACAGTAAAGAATAAAACCAAAGCATTGGAGACATGACAGGACTTCATAAGAAGATAATAGTCAACCAGAATGGGCATCATAATCAATCTTACTGTCTTCACAGTTGTTGCCTATACTTTCGAACTTGGTACTATCAAGCAAAGCAGAATAGGGGAAAATCAGGCAAAACAAGATGGTGAGGGCAATACAGGATTTCAAATCAAGCTAATAGGAAATCAAAGTAGGTTACTATAATGTGTCCTATTTTTTATTTAATTTTCCCTTAATTAAAAAGATAAAAAGAAAAAAGTAAGTAATTTTTTTAAAAAAGGGGGGATTGAGATAAAAGAGAGCATAACAACAGAACAGCGCAGGTCAAAACGTAACCATTTAAGCAAAATAGTGTTTCACCACAAGATATCCTGACATAAAAATAGTTACCATAGTGTCTCTTTCCTTGAAATCTTTGAGTATACTGTAGCACCAAACATATCAAGACACTATAAAACCATTCAAGAGAATGACATTATTACAGGGTATTTAGAACCAATTAACAGAAAATGAACAGTGGTTTCTGTATAATCTCCTTGTCTATAAAAGTTTTTACTTATATTATCATATATAATAAAATCCAGTAAGATACAACCTTTTAAGACCGATGGAGACAGAAGAATACAAGTTTGATGGAACTTCAAAACAAGATGATACTAAATCAGCACTAGCTATTATAATGTCTTGTTTTCTCCAAAATAGCTGTTCCTACCATCCGATCTTCTCTGCCTCATTTCTGTTAAGCTCTTTTTCTGTTGTTTGTTGTCAGTTTGTCTTCGTCATTTTGCTTTCTGCTCCATTCATTGTGGCCTCTCTGCCACTATTTCTGGAATCTTGGTATTTTCCTTTTTTAGAATATCCTGCAGTATTCTCTGTAAAGTTGAATTGGTGGTTGCAAATTCCCCTAGTTCCACTGTATCCTGGCAGCACCTTGTTTTTCCATCAATTTCTAGGGACAGTTGTGCAGGATATATCAATCTTGGCTGGAGGTTATTATCTTTCAAAGCTTGAATTATTTCCCCCCACGCTCTTCGTGATTTGATGGTTTGTGCCGAGAAGTCTTGTAATTCTGATGGGTGTTCCCTTGTAAGTGATCTGTTTCTTGTCTCTGACAGCTTTTAATATTCTGTTCTTATATTAGATTTCTGGAATTTTGATTATTATAGGCCTGGGTGTAGCTCTTTGGGTTGTAGGTGGCTGGGGTCCTGTAATGCCTCGTACATCTGAGTATCTTTACCATTTGCTAAATTAGAGAAATTCTCTTGGATTATTTCTGTGAATAGCTTTTGTAGTCCATTTGTTTGTGTCCCTACTTCTTTTATGTTCTTAATTCTTAAGTTATAGATCCTCTTATCATCTTCTAGCCTTTGTATTGTTGCTGTTTTTTAATTATTTTTAAAGAAGTTTTTCACGTATTCTATGCTTTCACTATTTTCTCCATCAAACAATTCTCCCTTTTTTCTGTTCTTCCATTCCACCATCTGTTTTTTCTTGGGCAGTGTTAGCATTTCTCTAACTATTCTACTTATATTTTGCATCAGGTCGTTAATAACTTCATTTCTGATCTCGTCTATGAGGCTCTGGAGACAGCGTTTTATGTCTTGTTGGTGCCGTGTCTGATACTGCATGTTTCTCAGGGCCGAGGGGGCTGAGGACCCTTTCTTGTTGCTCCCTCTTCCCATGTTTTTTTTGTTCCTTTTATACAAGCGTATATAGGAGGCCCAGTTTCTTTCTTTGTCAGTTATAGTTTGTTTGAATTGCGCTGGCTAGGTGTTCCCACCCACTGCAGTGTACTAGGGAGACACAGATCTGGGCAGCCTATGCTGGGCCCGCCCCTTCAGGTCAACCTACCGAAGGCTTCACTGCTAGGGTGCACCTGCATGCGCTGGGACCTGGTTTGGGCTAGCTTACTGGGTCTTAGTCAGTGGCATCACGCAGGCCAAGCACTGTCCACCAATCCCGCTTGAGAGAATATGTGACTGAAGTTACTGCAACATCCTGTTCCGGCTAGTCTGCCCAGTCCCAGTATGTCCTTTGCTGAAGCCTCCTATTCTATGGAAGAGTCCCCGACCCCCTCACTCACCACAGGTTGATAAAGGGCTCCTGGCCAGTCCCGCTCTCAACTCCTTTCACCCACTTCCCACTCTTAGAGCTTTCGCGCCTCTCTCCTTACCATGCCAATTGGGATGCAGCAGTGGCTGCAGGAATTTCCAATCACAGCTTCCAGTGGCGCGGGGTCCAGCTTCCGCACTGAGACCTTATCTGTTCCTGTTATATCACCAGTATTGCGTTTCCAGTTGGTTTCTCTTAGTTTAGTTCGTTCCTGGGTTGGCAAAGTATATCTCCCCTTGTTTAGGATTTCTCGCCTGGCACCATTCCTGGATTTTAAGTGTGGTTTCTCAGAGAGCCTCTGAAGCTGCTGCTATCTATCCACCATGTTCTCCCGGAAGTCCCAGCCCCTCTATTTTTATTCTTGTAGCTTTGTAGTAGATTTTGAAATCAGGAAATTTTGTTTCCTCTTGCTTTGTTCTTTCTGCTCAAGATATTTTTGTTATACAAGGCTTTTGTGTGTCCATATGAATTTTGAGATTGTTTTTTCTAGTTGTGTACAGAATGTCAAAAGTTACTTTGAAAGAAACTACACTGACTCTGTAGATCACTTTAGGTAATATGGACATTTTTATAATATCACCTCTTCCAATACAAATATAGAATGCTTTTCCTTTTCTGTGTGAACTCAATTTTTTTCATTAATGTCTTATAATTTTGATTATAGAGATAGTTCACTTCTATGATTAAATTTATTAGTAGCGTCTGTTGTTATTTTGGTAACTTACAAATGAGGTTGCTTTTTTAATTTCTTTTTTTAAAAAAATCACTACTGGTGGATAGAAACACTACTGACATTTGAATATTGATTTTGTGTTTTGTAACTCTGCTGAATGTATTAATTTGAATAGCTTTTTTATACATATAAGATCTGTAAGCAGTGATACTGACTTCTTGTTCAATGTGAAGGCTTTTTATGTTTTCTTACTGCCTGATTGCTCTGGCTAGGACTGAGTTTTATCATGTTTTTATCTAGTGCCACCACCAGATTAGAAATTATGAAGCATGGAATCTGTGTTCAGGTCTTGACATACCATTAAAATAATCACAATACAAAAGGATTACTTTTTAGTTATCAGTCATAGATAATAAAGATGTCTATTTCTCATACAAAATCCTTATTATGAACTATGGTAGTACTTTTCAGACTTTGGTGTGCATATGAACAAGTCTGATAGTCTTTTAAAAATGCAGATTCTGTAAGTATGAAGAGGAATTTTAGATTCTGCACTTCTAATCGCCCTAAAGCTGGCACTGATATTGCCGGTCTACTGTTCATACTTTTTCTTTTATACTGGGATTGATCTCTAGTTACCTTTCTTCTTCTGTATCTCCTCTCCTCTTGCTTTTTGAGCTCAATTCACATAAGTGCATCTCAGTCTCAACTCCCCATTAGCTTCCACCAGAGAACCTTTGTTCATGTTGTCCCCCATCTAAAGTGTTTACTATTCCAGTCGTAGCATCTGTTCATTCTTTAAGATCACAGCTCCATAGTAACTTCTTCAGAAATCTCTTCCTTGACCTATTTAATTATGTTCTTTAGGAACTAGGACCATGTACTTAATGGTACCTGTTCAAATTTAGCACTGTATCTGCATCATCCATCCATTCATTTTTTTCCTCACTGGACAAAGCTCAACGAGTACAGAATTATTGTCTTCATAATGCTTTCTCTTTTCCTACATAACTGTTTTCCTAAGGTCTAGTTCAGCATCTTGGCCCTTGATAGTTGTGTAAATTATGATGTTGATATATAAATTAGCTTCCTTCCCCCTCACACCTCCAAAATGGTCAGTAGATAAATTAAAACAATTTTCTAGTTATTATTATCCAGCTGTTTCTCAATTAATGTTTTCTACTGCTAGAAAAAGTAGACAGGATGGTTAAGAATTCTAACATTTGTGTCAAGACAAGGGCTGACTGTACTAAGCCTTTCACCTGTCTCACCATGTGCTTGATCATTTTCCGGCTACAGATAACAAATACATTAGAACTAGCTGAGTAATTAAGGGGTTGGTCCCTCTATTTGGCTCTGAAATAAAAAAACACTCCAGCAAATTCTATAATAAGTGCTTTATATGTATGTGAATCTGTGAATAAAAACAAACTGACAGAAACTAAATCATTAACAATATAGTCAAATGATATAAAATAGCAGTTTGTTTTTGGTTTTTTACCATGTGCAATTCATCTAATAAATACTTTGTCAAATCATGGAGAGTAACTATAAATATGTAGTAATAGAACATAACTTACATGCACAAATACATGGCTGTGCCCTAAAAGTATTATTCATGATAGAAAGTGCCTAGTCCACTGACCTGTCAGACTTATAAAACTAATAGGAGATCAATAACACAGCACAACTTTATCGTATCTGTAAATTATTACTGTGCTGTAATCCATCAATTGGGTAGCATCAAATTATCAAAGAGATATCTGAAAAGTGAAGCAGAGAATAATGGTCATCACTAGGTTTTACTGAGGGTAACTAAGTGACTTTCACTTCAATAAAAGTGATTAACATTCTAAATGTGTACTAATTTGAAACTACTAATATAGAGTGGTACCTCAGTTCACCAACTTAATTTGTTTTATGATGTTGGGGAAGATAGCCATGATAGTGTTTGTCACCCAAAGTGGAGTTTGTGAATGGAAAGAAAATCTCTGTCAAACACGTTTGTTTGAAAACTTAACTGTCGGTGAACAGAAGCATTCATGAACTGAAGTATTACTGTATGTTGATTCATATTTTTAAAAACCCCAATCTGCTTCCACTTTACTTACTCCCTAAAAACAGACCAAGAGTCTACTGTAAAAACTAGCATAAAGGTAGATAATAGAAATAACAAAATGAGAAATGACAGATCGTGCCTTAAAGGAATTACAGAATGGAAGAAAAAAAAATAACCAAGTAATAACAGCTATGGTTATCATAAGAGGTATAGGTACCCAGGACAATAAGAACAAAGAAGGAAGATTGTCAACACCTGACTCTGAAAACACTGCAGACACTTAGGATGAAGTGGACCTGCTAGATTGACAATGTATATGCATATGTACTTCTTTGTGGGGAAGGAGAGGGGTAAAGAGAACAGCAGGAAAAACACATTTTTCATGCTCTGAAGTTGTTTTAAACTTCAGGTCAGTCAGTAATAGAGAGAAGAATGATGAAAATTAACACTATTACAAAGATCAGGAAGAGTCATGTATGTTGGGTATGGAATAAACAGAGTAACCCTAGGCAGAAGTTTGGAACATGAGTTGCAGGGAAATAAAATTGGAGAATGATACATTAATGTTTCAATTGTCAGTAGATGCTTTATGATATGAACGAAGTCTGAATAAGTGACAATAGAGTAAAAGGGAGTGATCAACAGGAACTGGTGGATAAATTTTCATTGAAACAGATTCAAATTTAGATAGATTAATCTCAAAGAACATAATCACTCACCTGAATGACTACATATTGCACTTAGCTGGTTACTGGGCTGGAAACCCAGAATTTCAATGCAAACACAATAAAGGCAATTATCATCTGTATGTTCCTGTAATCCAGTGTCTTCTGTACTTTCTAAAAATAGAGAAGCATCTGAATGGATTGAATTCATTATTTCAGTAAGACTCATCTGCTGTCGTAGCAAATGAAAAGAGTTTTTAACAAGACCTCCAGTTCCAGAGGGAAGACCTGTGCATAAATAAATATAAAACATACTCCAATAAATATTGTATCAATGATATCTTATCAAGGTGCATAAAACAGTAAAATTTTAGAGAATCTGGGAAAGAAAACTAGAACTCTTTTTATGACTCAACATCTAAAATAAGAAAAAAATAATGCTTCAAATTATGAAATAACTGAAGCCTACAAATAGTCTAGATGGGATTTTAGATACAAAATTGAAAAATGAGATTATAATTAATGTAATGTTTCAGCTATCCTCTATATTTGTCTAAAGTAGCACAGTGTGATGGTAATCCTAACACTTGGGAGATAAGGAAAGAGGGATCAGAGTTCAAGACCAGCGTGGACTACATAATAAATACAAGGCCAATCTGAAATATAGACACTGTCTCAAAACATTTTGCCAAAAGAAAAGTAATAATTCTAACTATAAAGGAGTAGTTGTTTAAAAAAACTCACATTATGAAGCTGTAAAACCTATGGCTCATACACATGTAATCATTAAAATAAAACAGTTCACAACAAAGACCATAATATTTTTGTATCTCTTGTCCTCTAACAGCTGTTTCATGGACTTATGAGGCTAACTATAATAAATTGTTCATGTATTATATTTTAAAACAGAAACCACAAATCTGAATTTTATCTTGAGACTGGGTACTTAGCTGAAAAAACACTTTAAATCTTTAAAAGAAATGAAGAGAAGGGAAGAATTAAAAAGAAGTAAGATGTGTGCTGTAGGGGCTGGGGATTTAGCTCAGCGGCATAAGCACCAGCCTTAAAAGCAGGCAGTCATGAGTTTGATCTCCAGCACCAGTAAAAACGAAAAAGACAAAAAAAAAAAGATGTGTGCTGTAAACATGTACTAACAAAAATTTAAAGGTTAAAAATAGTGGTTTAATTTTACTTTGATTTGGGGTTTTTTTTTTGGGGGGGGGGTGGTCTTTTTGAGACAGAGTTTTGCTATGTAGTTCAGGCTGGTCTTAAACTTCCAGGCCAGGATGGCCTCAAACTTGCAGTGGTGGTCCTGCCTCAGCCTCCTGAGCACTGGGATTACACGCATCACCATGCCTGGCTTTTGGGGATAATTTTTAAGTTAACTCAAAAGTGACTATCTCTGAATTGTTATTGACAAACTACTAAAAAAAGAATTACTTTATTTTTAATATAAACCAGAGTCTCAGAACAAAAATCATGTATTACCTCCTGTATCATGGGCAAATACTCTTGTACTTCGATCATCATGTGGAGGTATATTTTTTGTTTGAAAATAAGGAATATCCTTTACCTGAAATAGATATAAACTATGGTAAATCATATTACAAAAAGAAGTCTACATAATAACTATTAAGAATATAAAGTAAAATACAATTGAAATAGAATTACTATTGCATATGAACCTACAACAAAATTTTTGAAGGTTAAATCACCAAACTTAAAATAACAATCCTAAAGTCTTTTATTGTATTCTACATGAACTAGTTAAGTAACTATTTTAATATTCATCTAAAATGTCTCTAGATTACTGAGTAAATATGTATGCTTTAGTACCACTATATATCATCTAGAGATCTGTAGGCATCTCATGGGATTGGGACCACTTTATATAAGTGGGTATCACAGGGGGCATACTACATAGGTAAAATAGGATCAAAAACAACAAGTCACATGAAACTACAAAACGAGGTAGAGAACCTACTACATTTCTACAGCGAATATAATGACAAAGAAATAGTTCACTGAATACAGGAAAATAATGCTCTTGAAATCTAGAGGTACTAAACAAAAGAATATTTGAGAAAGCCAAGTTTTCATCTTAAAAATTTCTTTACATAAAACTGTTTCAAAAAATTCATCTTCTCTACAGTTAGTGCCCTCTTGTAGATAATTCCTTCTATACAGTAACAGAATGCATAAAAGAAGCTAATTCAAAAGGAAACAGTTTGTGACGATACCTGGAATATATCATTGATGTCTACAGGAAGAGCAAGGCCAATGTAGTCATCAGAGCCACCATATGTAGCACTGGACACCATTGACCTAACTGAGGAGGATCGTTGCAGGGTATTTTGATTAATGGGACTCAACAAATCTTCTTTATCTAATGATGCATAACTTAAAGCTTTCATGAACCTATAATACCACAATAAAACTTGGATTAGTTTCTTGATTTATAATATTTTTTTTAAAAACTTACATTGCTACTTTCAATAAAGTGACTAGTGAAATGTTAAGTTGTGTCATGCTGTTTACTGGGAACACAGAAACAGTTTAAAATATGAGCTGCTATAGATTGGTATGTATATAGAAAACATTGCCAGTAATATTGATTGCTACCATGAAAAAACTAGCATGGTCTCTGAGGTAAAGGTGAAATGTGTACCATTAGAGTAACTTTAACATTTATAAGTAATGAAAGAAACTGACCTGGACAGAAATATAGTTTGAAAAATATCTTTGCTATCATATTGTAAGGATAAATCTATTAGCATCATTTAATACATTTATGAAAAATAAGATCAATTTATTTTCTGTGTAATTGTTTTCATTATCAATATAAAATTTATGCAACACAAGTATACATGATATAATAGTGATATATAAATATTATTGTAAGATAGCCTTATATATAGCACTGATTTGTAATTTTTAGTTGATTGTTCATGATCCTGTAATAAACAGTACTGACATGTCTGTAAGATAGCAATCTTTGTCATAAACATTTTTATTCATGCAAAGATACATTTATTTGGTTTTTGCTTTATTCATAAGGTTCTATCCAAAGTTTACATCTGTTTAGATACTGGTGGGGGAAGAGAGACAGACAGACACTGAAAAGGATAGACAAGGAAACATAGACAGACCTCTAAAAAAATGCATACACACTCAGCATCTCATCATGCTAATACATGTCTGGAGCTAAAAGCTACCACTTTGAGCACCTCTTATAATTGTAGTGCAAAGTTAACTTGTATTAATCTCATGACATCTTGATAAATTTAGTATTAAAATATTTATGTAATTTTTTTCTTGATGTATACATTTTTGGTGGAGCTTCTTTCTATGCATATATATACACACACACACACACACACACACACACACACATACACAGGTACATATATACATATATAAATGAAAGAAATTATTTCACTAAATAAATGCATCAATAACAGTAGCTACTAACAAAGCAAAAAATTTTCCTAATTTCCACCAAAGCCCACTCTTTACTGAAAGTTATCTATTTTGTAAAAGAGACAAGTAGCTTTCAAATTGCACCATTGTACTTCTGTGGCTCCACGAATACATCAAGGGCTATTGGAGTAGAGGGAAAGAAAATTACTGGATTATTCTCTTTCCCAATTTCTATTCCAACCCATAGCTCCATTTTTCTCTATCCTGCATACTAAATTGTCACAGAAACCTTTTTTATGAAAAACTTTGTTTAAAATCAACTATATAAAAGCTTCAAATCACTGATCTAGTTTGTCTCCACTAGAGGAGGAAAGTGGGACCCAGAAATTGTAAATTTATTACTATACTACAGAAACTTATAACCATAGTTGTTGAGAGATATACTTGCTCTGGAATGATGACAGTACCAAAGCTGGTGAGTTTCAATTAAGTAAGACATTATCTAATTTATTAAATTCTACTAGGGAACAAAATCAATTATCTGATATCAGCAATCTCTCTGTTAAATATGTCAATGAAACAAGACTGCTTAATGTTACTAAGAATTTACCAAAAGAGACAGATGAATCTCATAAAAAAAAAAAAAAACTACCAATGATGACAATGGGGATAATACTAGCTAATATTTATTGAGTCTTAGTATACATTGTAGTATTGTAAGTACTTGACATATGATAATTTATTTAAATAGCATAAACATGTAATTTAAAACTAAGGAAAGTTCTTTAGGAGCATTTAGTCCAACAACAAAAACACAGCTATGGAACTTTACACAACAATTAAATTTAATATTGCATCTCTTTTAAAGGTAAAATCTAAACTTCATGGTGAACAGTTTAATATGATCTAAGTATAATATGGAAATTTCTATTTAGATTTGAGGAACAGTAAATTCATTTAAATGTTTATTTGGTTCCTATTTAATTACAAATACTTAAAATGGAAATAATTTAACTGAAAGTTTTCAGTTATTACAAAAATAATAACAAAAAGAAAAAAGTCAGTTCTTGGAGCCTTAAAATGACCTACCTGAAAAGGTTGTTTGTTATTGTAGGTCTTAAGCTCCTGATCCCCCCGACATACTTCTTTTTAAAATCGATCCTTGCAGAAGCGAGAAATAAATAAAAAAAGCTTGTGACTTGTATATCCTTGCAAAGCATGTATGTTTATTTTCAGGGCCTAATGGAGTTCTGCTTTCCCCCCTCGCAGCTGCAAGAATCCATTTCAAATCATATCGGGTAACAAGGAGCTTGTAGTCTTACTCTAATAAACAATTACTAATGGGTGAGTTTTGAGGCTTATATAGTGTTAAACCTGACTCATGTTTTACTTTTAAATCTGTTAAAAATAAAATGATTATTGTCCATTTTAAAATATATATTTGCTCACCTGCTTGGTGTTAATCTGGACTCAAAGCTGTTTGCCTTCATGGTGATGGTATCAGTAAACAGCACATCTTTTGCTGGTGATGCCAAAGCTTCAGAATGAGATAAGGATGGATGCATTCTTTGCTGCTGTAATCTTTTCAAAGTAGCGTAGCCAAAGGCATCTCTAGAACTTGTGTAACTAAAGTTACAATCTGCTAGACTTTTAATTGTAGCAATAGAGGGTGCTTTAAGGGACTGTGCTCTTCTAGGAAGTGTATGAGAAGACCCTGGAGGCACCAAGGACACTGAATTTGATTTGGAGAGAGACAGATGGTTAGACTGTGGTGTCAAGTAGTGGCTTGTTTTAACAGTTTTAGTACTTACCACAGTACTCATACTTCCACAGTCTGTGTCAATAGTTGCAGCATCTACACCTACTGTCTCTCGTGAAGGACTAGAGCTCATTGAACTTATGCCACTTGTTGTAGTGTCTGTATTAAAACTCTGGCTACGAATCTTCATATGTGAATTTGTGGAATTTTCTACAACTAACCTTTCTCGGCTTGTATTTTCTCTGTGATTCTCAGTACAAAAACTTTTGGTGAATTTTAAGTCATTCTCTCCAATACTTGGGGTACTACCAGTGTCTTCAATGTGCTTATTCCCAACAAATGAAGTTTCTAACTGTAATGTTTTCTGTACTGTGGATATAGGTGTGAAATCTTCACTATGATTAAAGTCCACACTGGGTTCTGTAAGTGTTCTGATTCGCCTGTTGCTTGTCTTATTTTCAGATGAAAGTTTTCCTCCTTTTGGATCACTGCTACTACGATGTTTTTTATTAGGCAAAGTGAGTGAATTTAAGATGCGATTCTTCACAAGTTTACTAGAAGCAAAGAAAGGAAATGAATTTTTATCCTTTATGGGTCCAGGTCGGTCAAAAAATGATGGCTCTGCATCTTCATTGTTATCAAGGAAAAATGTACTAGTAGAGCTGCTGCCAAATCGGTCATCTTCCATTATGAACATACCTATAATTGAAGGATCATTAATTAAAGTACATTTAAAAAATTAAAGATTCACTACAAGTATTAGTGACATAACATTTCAGAAAAATTTTTAAAAATTTAATAGTCATTTGAGGGATAACAATTTAAAAATAAAAGGTTAAACCACTGCGCTACATGAAATCATTTCCTTCAGACCTAGAATTTAGACTTGAATGAAATGTGAAATTATGTAATTCTGAAGTTATCCTATTATTTCCAAAGAAAAATTAACACACTGTGACACTGCTTACATGAGATTTCTTTTGATTTTTTAAATATTCAGGATGAAATTAAGGGGAAAAAGGAGATTTGAGCATGGATGCTCATTACTTGATATTAGCAGAAAAATTCATCTCCCCTCCCTGCTGGTAATCAGCTCCATTAGGAGGCAGTAGCCAGCCCAGCCCATCTTGTTCACTCCTGCAGCCATCACAGAAGTTCCCTGCTGGCAAACAGCTAGGAGGCAGTGGCCAGCCCAGCCCCGTGTGTACTCTACCAGTCATGGGGAGCCTCTGCGCAGGCTAGGAAAAGCAGCAGGCATCCCTGCACCTGGGCACTCAATGGTCACCATCAGATAATTGTAGCCAGCACTGGCTAGAAGAACCAATCTTGCTTCAGAGAAATTATAGCCAACATGGGAAGTGCCTGGGCCCCCACTACCCACTCACTTGTCCAGAAGAGCCCAGAAATATATCAAGAGAAAGAAGCAAAAGACAGACTCTGGCCTCCAATCCAACCAGAGCTGGTCTAGGAGATGTAAACACAGAGGAGATAAGAAGTTGCACACTTGGAAGTTTCTGAAATGATGGCAACTGAAGTAAAGGAACAATTTTATGAGGCTACAAAAGAAATTAGAACAGAAATACTACCTTAAGTAAAAAAAGAAATGAAAAATACAATAAAAGTATTGCTAAGTACCTCTAAATAAAACAGATGAAAGAATACAGGAGCATAGGAAAATGAGGGAAACCTGAAATGAACAATATAAAAAAAGATTTAGAATGCATGAAACATTCAAAGAGACAGTCAAGAAATTAAAAACTCCATTGAAAGCTAGCAAAACTGCTTAAAAAGAAACTAAATATAGACTTTCAAACCTTGAAGACACATTTGCACCTTGAGACACAAAAGGAAAGATTTCTTAAAAATAACAAGGAATGAAGAAGTAACAATTCAAAGGCTGCAAGACAACCAAAAGAAACATAACCTAAGAATATTAGGTGTAAGTGAAAAAGCAGGGTTCAATACAAATGACATTAAGAGTCTATTTATAGAAATAGTATCAGAAAACTTCCCAAACACAGGAAAAGGAAGTGACATTCAGATAAGCGAGCATACAGAACTCCAGCTAGCCATAACAAAAATAAATCTATATCCAGACATATAATAATCAAGATCCCAGAAATTCAAGACAAGAACAGAATATTAAAAGCTGCCAGATAAAAGAAACAGATCACCTATAAAGGAAAACCATCAGAATCATGGCAGACTTCTCAACACAAACCATCAAATCAAGAAAGGCTTGGAGTAAAGTATTTCAAGTCCTGAAAGAAAACAACTTCCAACCTAGACTGATGTACCCTGCAAAAAGTATCCTTCAAAATTAACGGAGAAACAAGATACTTCTATGACAAAGAACTGAAAGAATTTATGACCACCAAACCAACCCTACAAAAAGATACTAAAGGACATTCTAGAGAGAGATAAGGAAGACCATAGTTCCAGGAAGAGTAGCAGAGGGGAATCACTGAACATGGCAGAAATTGAATGGAGAGGAAAATACCATGGAAGAGATGAGCCAGTGCATGTTGGCCATAACCATTAATGTAGATGGCCTCAATTCATCAATAAAAAGAAACACACACAGAGTAGATCAGGAGACAAGATTCATCAATATGCTTTATACAAGAAACACATTTAACCCAAAAGAGGACACACAGACTGAAAGTCAAAAGAAGAGAGAGCTATACTCTATGTGACAGGAAACCAGAAAGAAGTGGGGGTAGCTTGCCCATCATCAGCTGCAGACTGGGTAAGAAAGCCGTGGCATATTTATACAATGGAAAGCTACTCAGTTATAAAGATAACCTTGAGGTTCTTGTAGGTAAATGGATACAACTTGAGACGCTGCTCATGGATAAAATAGTTCAGTCACATGGGTGAATATTGTGCTATCTCCCTAGTAGAAAAACTAGAGGAGTCAGTAGGATCCAAAATGCACAGCACATCCTATGAAAGTGAAAGGGAAGGAAGTATCTAAAATGGGAAGGCAGTAGCCACTGTTAATCTATTATGGTGATTTGAAACCCACATTGTTTTCACTGTTCTATTTAGTTTGATTTTATTGTTTCAGTTTGTCTAATTGTATTATATTTGATAGCACAACTACTTCAATGATAACAAAATCTATTATGGTAGCCATTATTGATTTCCTATTAGCTTGTTTGAAGCCCCATATTGTCTTTATTGTTTTGACTGATTTTATTCTATTTTGTTTTGTTTGACTGTATTATGTGCGATAGTATAGGCAACTACTTTGAAGATAACAAGATGCACTATGGTACCGACTATGGTTTTACTCTTATCTTGTTTTTAAGTCCCGTGGAGCTTCTACTGTTTTATTTATTGGTTTTATTCTGTACTCTTTTGTTTAATTTTATTATGCCTGAAGGTATGGGCAATTCTTTTGAAGATAACAAGAGGCATTATGGTAGCCATTATTGATCTCCTTGTATTTTGTTTTAAAGTCATGTGTGGGAGGTGTCTCCAGTGACCCCCTTTGAATCCAAAATAATTGCTGTGATTTTGATTACTTGGAGACTCATTTCCTTATACTGATATGTGAAAGGCTGGCTAGGGTATCTCCTCTCTTCAATTGGCTCTAAGCATTGCAAATAAGGCTAGCCAAGGTGCTAATGTGCGAAGTCCGGCCATCTGACAGTCCTGTTTCCTCCCATGGTGCTCTCCACAGTATAGGATTGAGCTGGTGAGATGTTAGAGCAAATAGCTCCCTCGAGAATGTCAACTGCGTAGGACCCTCAAGATAAGAGGCTATGATTCCCTAGGGCACAAGAGTTTGCATATCAGAAACCTAAGCCATAGTCCCCAAAACATTTTCACTGCTACCTTAATTGGGTTATGTAAATTGATCCTTCTGTATACCTGTATCTCTGCAAATTATAGAGATGCCATTCTTGCACCAGGTCAGCCAGCTCAGGTTATTCAGTAACCCTTGACATCCTCACTATCACTCATCCCTGAGCCACCCCTCTTTCTTCACAAGAGAATAAATGCTGGGGGCTGGGGATTTAGCTCTGCGGCATAAGTGCCTGCCTTGCAAGCGGGCAGTCGTGAGTCTGATCCTTGGTACCAATAAACAGGAAAAGGAACAAAAAAAAAAAAAGAGAATAAATGCTGGGAGAGGCCTAGGATCAAGGCCTTTGTCTGCCTGTCCTCACGGGGTTTGGACTTAGGACCCCTTGGCTGCCCTTAACTTAGAACATGTCTTGGTGTATTTCTCTCGCCGTGGGTTGGATTGGTGATGGTAGATTGGATTTAACCTGCTGGGATTCCAATAATGTCTCAATGGAATTATACATATAACTTTTTGGATTATGAGAAAAACTAGAAAGAGGATTACAACAGTTGGATGACTGAACTTGATATTTGGGTTTACAATAGTCATGTACCATGTTCATCATTTTTGTTTTGATGGATTATTGTTTCATTTTATTTGGTTTTATTCTCTTCAAAATAAAAAAAATGTGAAAAAAATTATGTTAACATTTCATTTTGCTTTAAGTACTAAGAAATTCATGTGAATCCAGTGCCGAACTTTAATAAGTAATTCAACTCCAATGTCTAATGACATCTATGCAATTTAACTTACCTGTTGAACAATTATAAACTTCTTCAAATATATTTTTAAAGAAGGCAAAGTAAAATCCTAAATGAACTTGAAAATTACTTTGCATCTCTAAATTTTTTTCAATTCTAAAATATGCCTTTTTACTTTTTCTCTAAAGTCAAGCTACACTTTGCTATTAGGGGCATGAATCTGTTTAATAATCATTCTGTCTTTTTTTTTTCCTTCTTAGTGGTCACAAAGTATCACTGCATCTTATAATTTAAGGCATCTCAGATTTGGTGAAATATGGTTCAATAAATGCTGCATTATCTTCTTAAATGAGTATCTTCAATTTTGTTTACTTACTTAGCAGAAGGCTTGAAATCACAAACTGCTTATATATAATTGATTTGTGACACTCATCTTTTAACAATTTCACTGTTTTACCCCGTGTGTGTGTGTGTGTGTGTGTGTGTGTGTGTGTGTGTGTGTTGCTGGGTCTCATACATGCCAGGCAAGCGGTCTTCCACTTGGTTTAATGATCTAAGACTAATAATCTATATTCTCGAACCCTCTAATATTTTAAAATTTAGTATTTTGTTCAAAAATGAAGACATACCCATAGTACCTCTTAGTAAATATATTCTGGATCAATAATCAATATATCTGAAAAATGAGTAAAAAGATCAAATGTAAAAAGTAGACAATAAATACTTAGATTTGTTTCTTTTTGGGTGACAAAAAGGGCACACTATATATCCAATGTAGGATTTTCCAGAAGCTACTTAGCAAACAAGGACAGAAAACAACAAAGGATTGTGACTAATACTCTGTTGTGAAAAGAAACATATTCTCCCGGGTTATTTAATGCCAAATAATTATCTTAGAAAAATTAGGAATGTAACAAATATATTTGTTTTGAAATTACAAATACAAATATTAATATTGGCTAAATTTATATAAGGTTATCACAGTACTTACTTGATGGGGCTGATTCACTTTCACTATTATGCCTAGAACTGGTTGACTCTGAGTTCAAGCTTAAGGTGCTTGGGATAGATGAGAGCTCATTACAGAGTTGTTCTACATCATCTGGAACTACTGGCCATGGATGTTTGCGACTATGCCTCACAGCATCCCAGTTGTGACATTTTAGAATATCACAGCCTTGTTTGGTTTTGGCTATGAGCCCCAGTACATATACACAGGTCCTATACATAAAAAAAGTAATGACCAAGCTGAGATTTGAGTTTTACTAAAAAAGCCATTAAAGAGTTTTTATGAAAAACATTATTACAACTAGTTAGGAATAAATCAGCAGCAATAAATATTATGTAAATCTACTTAACCCAAATTACTTATATTATGTAAACCGATATTTGTAACCCAATTACAAATATTATGTAAATCTACTTAACCCAAATCTACTTACCCAAATTACAATAAAATACAATGTGATCTTAGCAAAAATACATATATTAGCTTTTCTAATATTAATTTATTTGGGCTATTAAATTATTAGGCTATTTAAGCACACACAATTTTCCTACTTGTAAGGTAAACTTAATATCAGAATAAAAATGAAAAGATAATATTAAAGAGTTAAGCTGTTTAACTTAATATGTTTAAAAATCTTGTATCATTAGAACAGTTATGAATCATGTAATACTTTTGCCTTTATAAATAACATATGAATTAAGACGATGTCTGGATTAAATGACATACCCTCTGATGGAAAGAACTTCACATTGTTTTGCAAGTTTTAGTATATCTGGAATTACATTTTCTTCCTGCAGCAAATTAAGACCCCAATTTGAAGAGCCAATATTTCCCTGAAAGAAAATACATATCAAACATACTCGCATAAGTAAGTTACTCAAGTGAAAATGTACCACAAGACAAATTTAAATCTATTTATATGAAAGGAAAACAAAGAAAAAATCACCAAATAAGGAATGCTACCAATACATTAATGTTCTATTTGTCTTAGCAAAAACATCACAGTCATGAAAACTAATCGTTTAACAACATAAAAATACATAAATTGGCAAGAACAATTCTGGTTCTTGAATATTAAACTAAGAACAAGTTCCAAATGAAATAATTTTAATTTATTTAGTATTAAAGGAAAAATGAAAAAAATCTAAAACTTGCAAAGATCTTACATAAATATTTATTACAAACCAAGGCCCAAAGAGATGCTTTCAGTTTTTTAATTTCTTCCCATTTATCCAAATCTGGTGTACGAACATTGTGACAAAGTTCCGTAACAATATTCTGCAGAAATCAGAAATAACATCATGTAAGTAACAACATAGTTTTAAATGTATTTTTACTCCATTATTAAACATATTTTAAAATGTACTTCTATTTACTTTTACACATCGAAAATTCTAAAGTAATTTTATGCAAAATGTCTTAGAAAGTAGCATGAATACATGGGTTCTGAGTGTATATTCTAGAGTTATCACTATTATCTGTATGGTTTTGAAAATTACTTTAAGTTCCCATGTCTTGATTGCCTAGTCTTTACAATGGGGATAGTAATACTACATGTCTCATGAAGCTTTACACTAAAGTCATAAAAAGTAACAATTATGATATTTTTTTTTTTTTTGGTACTGAGAAGCAAATTCACAAACTTGTACTTTTCAGGCAGGTGCTGTAGTGCTGAGCTATATCCCCAGCTGTAATAATTATGACTTTATCATTTTGTATGTGTAGTGCTGGGAATTGAACCTAAGGCCTCATGCAGGCTAGGTCAGTTCTCCATCATTGAGTTACAGCTCCAGCCTTTTTCATATTTTTGTTTTGAAATAGGGTTGCACTAAGTTCCCAAGCTGTCCTCAAGTTTATGTGCTTGTGTGCTTGTGCTCCTCCTGTCTCAGTCTCCTAAGTAACTGGGTTTACATACATGAAGCATTATACTTGGTTTGGATTTTATCATGTTATGTAAGTAAAGACAATAAGCTCATTCAAATTTTTAGTGGATTTATTATCAAATATTAACATGAAACTGTCTTACCAATAGTTTCCATAAACATAAAAACGCAAAACTTTGTAAAATTTTGGGCTCGTGAGATAAATGCTGATACAGAGTTCAAAGTGCTAGATAACTACTGTTCACATTAACTAATATTTTCACAACTATTTATTTCTCTTAAAATAGCTAGCTGCAAGGTACATTCATAGCCAGAAGTGTACTGTATATACTGTACTCAAAGAACAATTACTCATTTATGACTAGTACAAACATATAGTACTGTACAACAATAGGGAATTACAAGCAGCAGCTTTTTACTTCATGTTGCCCACTGAGGCAACAATTAATTTTTCAATGAGAGAAAGTAACTTAGTTTTCTATTATCCTTTTAAGGAGATTTTGATTTCTCTAACAAATTACAAAAGAAAGAACTTAGACCAATATTGGGTGGCCTACCCTAAGTAAAGTTAGCTATTCGAAAGCTAACACAGAGAAATATGTGAAAGCCAGTGACATTTCTCAGGATTATAAATATAGAATGACTAAATCAATTACAAGATAGATAACTTGAAAAGAAAGTATGCCACTGCTTTTACAGCATTTGAGAAATATTTGCAATGACAATATTTTTGCAACATTAGGCTTTCTTAAATATCCTAATGATTTTAAATAAGCAAAATTATTTTACCTGTACTTCCAGTAAATGGCAGCCAGTTTTATGGTGTACTAGTTGTCCATAAAGGTGTACAGGCAGGTAGACGTGAGGACGCTGTAATCTATACAAGAAAGATGATTTAGCTAGTTGATTCATTTAAATATACTAACTAAAAATGACTTAATAATATACTAAATAAAATTAGCTACAATTTTCCAATCCAAATAAAGAGGTAGGAAGACAAGAGAGTCTTCTGTAAAAAAAATAACAGTATATTAGGTCTTATAGTGCTGATAAGAGAATAGGAACCAAAAAGCAGAAAGCAGAGTAAGGTGAGAGTAGAGTGGATATGAATGCCATATCAGTAAGTGTATTCAACATGTTATGAATGACAGTGAAGTATTTCCAGCAATCAACGTAGTAAGATTTTTTCCCATACAACATATGAGAGTATATCAGAACTCAGAAAACTTTAAAAATAATTACTTATTAAAAGTTGAGTTTTAAATTCTGTGCATGAGGTATAATGACTTGCTACACTGAGCGGACCATACCTTTGGTTACTCCGGCGAACATAGTTATCACCATCAATAGGTTTCCGATAAGTAGTAAGTGCTTCATTAAGTTGCTCCTCAATCAAGTCAACATATCTTGAATTATATTCCTAGAAGATAGTATTATTTTAACTGTATGCAATATCATAATGACTGACATTCGCTAAATTTATGTCAGGTACATAGCAAATTTTAGAAGCATGAATACGGGAAAAATTAAAAGAACATGTTTAGAAATGAAAAAATTTTGGGAAAGGTTAGAGCAAGGGCACTATGAACAAACATTATTTTATATCCTAAAGTTTTCTGCTTGTATTTTCCCCCTTTTGAACTAATATTTTGGGGTCCAAGTAAGCAATGTTTTTCATCTTATTTTAATCCTCTTTCCCATTAAAAATTTATCTTCCTAATATTAAACTCTGAAGATATACACTACAAATTGAAAAATGGAAATTAACTGAATTCTATAATTTTAGCACTTTCCAATAAGACATCTTTTCCCACTGATTTAAATAAGGTCAAGTGAAAACAAAACTTTTTAAAAACTAATACCTGAAAACTCCAAGTTAAATCCTTTAAACTGAGTCAATCTCACTGCCATCTTAATTACTAAAGTTGAAATTGTAAGAAAGAACTGCTGCAAACTGTTCAGGAAGCAAATTGGTAGTATTTATTAGAAATTCAAATTCAATATACTTTTTTGCCTTAATAAATATATGTCTGGAAATTTATCTAACAGATAGATTTCCATAAACATGCAGTACTATGCATGGAAGAATTTTCAGTGAACATTGTTTGTAAAACTGAAAAGCTGAGTACAATCTAAATGTACACCAATACAGAACTGATGATATTATGCAGACATTACACAGGAGGTAAATTTGAATTCACTGTTCTCAAAATCTTTCTCAGATGCATAGCTTAACGAAAAAAGTTAAACTGAGTTCTATCTATATTTGTAAACTGAACTGAACCACTGAAATTTTTAAGTAAAGGACATATTCTTATAGATGAATATAAAGTCTAGTTTAATCAAAAGAAATTATTTAACAAGTATTACCTTGGGAAAAGACAGACAGAATAAGGGGTAGGGAGATACCTACTTAGGCCCTCTCCCTCTGCCCATTAATGGGAAATGTATTCAGAGGCTGATGCATTGAACAACATCTCCAAGCCTTTTTATTTTTGAGACAAGGTTTCAAAAAATTGCTAAGTTGCTCAAGGTGGACTAAAACTTACAATCTTCCTGCTTTAGCCTCTGAAAGTGCTGGAACTATATGCATGTATCAAAACTCCTGGCTGAGAGACATTTTTCATTTTAAATCATTTAGACTACTTCAATATGGTGAGTTACTTTAACATTCAACCTACATAGCCTTTAAAAGATTTTTCTATTTTTTAGGTTTTATATTTACTTTATAAATGAGGTTTTAGTGAAATATTATCACTATACCTTTCTCTATATGTGAAAACCTCAATACAAACTCTAATTAGGGCATATAAAATTAAATGTAATTTTCAGGATTAGTTATATGCATGTGCTATGTTAATTTTTTTAGATATTTAGGAGGAAAAAAAGTCAGGTATAAGGGTTTATAGTCATGAAACTGGTTGATTTTCTGATGAGGGTCATCTTGAAAATGCTATCTAAAATGTTCTACTTTGAAGGACAAGAAAACCACCCACCCATTCCCCTGCATTAAGAATCAACCTCTAGCTATTAGCAGAATTGTAAGGCAGCCAGAGGAGCCACTGCCTTCATAAAGGCAACTGTAAAGGAGACATAACTAAAAATGAGGTCTCTGACCTAAGAAAGTAGTCTTCAAATCAAAAACTTACATCTGAAACATGCCACACTCAGATCTAACAATCCCAACACAATATTTGTAGCAAGTGACCAAGACTATTCCTATTCCCTTGCTTCTTCCTCTTCCTACTCCAAGTCCAGCCTCAAACCTGCAGCTTGTACATGAAGGAGGAAGACGAGCACTGAAGTGATGAAACCTAATCTCCTTCACTCACTTTACAAATCTACAATAAGCCTATCTATATTCAGTGACAAGTATTAAATGGAATGAGTGGAATTTTCATATCATGCTGGTTGATGTTTTATTACCTTGAAAAAGAAACAAATTGTATGCTAACTGATAAGAAAAGCTAAGAGATATGCTCGACATTTCATCCACAAGCAGGAAGAAAGGATCACAGAGAAGAGCTGAGAGGTACAGCACTGAAACAGAAAACTTCTTTATGCTTCAGAGTGTTTCTTCAAAACACTATAAAGTGTTACAGTGAAAATACCAAACAATTTTAAAAAGTAAATATAAACTATTTATAGAGGGCTGGGATTTAGCTCAGAGGCATAAGTACCTGCCTGGCAAGTGTGAGATCCTGAGTTCGATCCCTAGTACTAACATAACATAACATGACATGACATGACATGACATGACATGACATGACATGTTTTCCAATACAATACAACTACTATTATCATAATAAGCAAAAGAGTCAATGATGCAAAGATGAAAGGTAATACCCAATCAACACCATAATTAGAGTGTCAACAACAATTATTTACAGGATTTTGACTATCAAATACTTGGTATTTATTATAAGTATTTGTATTCATTATAAGTCTCTTGCCTCAAAAATCACTAATATTAGGAATGGGCAAAGTTTTTCTATAAAAAGCCAGAGAGAATATTGAGTCAAACATCAGTTACCACTATTTAACTCTGCCATTTTAAAGAGAAACAACCATAGTTATAAATGAAGTATGTTTATATTTCAATAAAACCTTATGAACATTGAAATATAAATTTTATCATTTGTCACAAAATATTCTTCTTTTGATTTTCCCCCCAAAATCACTGCAAAATACAAAAATCAGGCTTAGCAAGTCATATACAAAGGGTAATAGGCTATATATGCCATAGTTGTCAGTGTGCCGAGTTCTGACTTAATCTGAGGTATAAACTGCCTCAATAAAATAATTCATAATGAACTGAAAGAAGGTATGTGCACTTAACTAAGAATTTTGGAACTGATCAAGCTAACTGATAAAAAGTATTTTGAAGTGGTGTTCCTCTGAGCTATAGAAAGAGAAGGCAATCAGACATTCTTATGGTCACACTAGCAACCACAGAGACCTTTTTAAGTGTAGCTGAATGTACAGTATCATTTCAGCCCACTCTAACACCCTAAGTACAGATACTCTAAAGTCAGCTCTCTGAAAAATGAGCTAAAAGATAGAAAGGAGAGGAAAGAGAAGTTTCCTTCCTCCTTTTTTCAAACTGACTTACAAAGTCCTTTGTGAGATTTTCTCTACATTTCTGAGGGGAGGAGTTGTCTTTACTTCTCACAGACTCATTTCTTTGCTTGTGTGTCAACCTTGTCTTCTCCCCTTGTCAGGGATCCTTTTTATCACCTATATCCCCCTTCTTCTACTATTAGTCTCTCTTGGCCTCATGAGGTCTTTCCCTTGCTCAAAATAAATTCTCATCTCCTTCACCCTTAAAACAAAAATATGATTTCAACACTGCCTATTTCTTGGCACTGCTTTGGCAAGCTACTGAGGGGAACTGAAAGTAGAGAAAGACATGGGCTTAGGGTTCAGAAAGAAACTGGTTAGTGTCTTTATTCAGCTATTTTCAAACTCTGTGACCGAGAATCAGAGAGTATTCTTTTCAGCCTTAACATTCATCTCAACAATGAGAAATAATGTATTGTATAGGAGTGTTGTGAGAATTAAAAGGAATAAACTTGAAAAGCACTGAAGTCTAATGGTAAGCAATCAGTAAGTTCCTTTGCCTTTCTCTAACCAGAGTTGACTATAGTGTTTATATTTTTATACCTCCTATACATTACCTGCAATTCGTATCTTTGCAGCTTTTTGCTAAAATTGATCTAGTAAAATTCATAAGTGACTCCACAATCCAGTTTAAGAGTCTCTTTTTCAGTGTTCATTTACTGAGACTACACTGACTTCTCATTCCTGAATCATCTTTTAGTGACACTATTCTTTCTGATATATTTGTTTTCCTCACTCTCAAGTGGCCTTTTCTTTCCCATATTAAGTCAGAGTGTTCTCTATGGAAAATTTCTGTCTTCTCTTTTTTGTTCTCTTGACATTTGCTTTGGTGACCTTGCTCACTTGAGGTTTCAATTACTACCATGATTGCCATTCTCCACAAATAGCTGAACTGCAGGGCTGTCAGTTCAAACATTTCTTGTATATTTACCTGATCCCATAGACAACACAGTTCAAAATCCAAAATTTATTAACCACATATTGCAAATCGTTTTTGTAACTATCTTTTAAGGATCATTCCATTATATAGTCAATCATTAAATTAGAAACTAAGTAAGGTTGGACCCCTCATTCACTGTACAGAATCAAAATGAACCCAGAGCTGTATGACCTGCCCATTTTTACGTTTAATTTTGAAACAGGCTAAAAATTGCTAAGTTCAAATTTCTGATCCTGCTGCTCTAAGCCTCCCAAAATGCTAAGATTCTACAGGTGAGAGTCATCACCTGGGGCTTCAATTCACAAATTTTAATCATGTCCTATCTTTTCTTTTAAATACCTAGAACGTGGCTCTTTGCCTATCCAACCTTATTATTACCGAAGTTTAGGCCTTCATTGACTCTGGCTTATAAACCAGTATAAATATTCCCAGATTTTTCCTTTAATGATCATACTTCCACTCCTACAGTACAGGCTGTCATATTTCTAAAGCACAGTTTTGACCATGGTAACTCTTCAAAGGCTTATAAAGATGCTCTATTACATATAAAACTCCAAATCCCTCAGTATGATAGCCACCAGATTATAAAACTGTATCTCTTAATATGGTATACTATGGCTTTCAAATACTTTCAATGTCTAGCTCTAATTTATCATTGCAGCACCATCTGGTCATTTCTCATTTATTTCTGCCCCTGGAATGTGGCTTTCTCTAAAAAGTATAAAGTTTCAATAATCTATACAGATTTCTTCTGATCATCCTTCCTGGAATACTATTTTTCAATTTACTTGCCCTACTTACTTTTTGAGACTATTTCAAACATGACTCCTTCACTGAGCCTGTCCAATATTTATTTTGGTAATTCCTGATGTAGAATCATTAATTTCTCCTTTGTATTCCCTTACGTACTTACACATTCCTTTGTTATATTTTTTTCACAATTACTATTTGAAAGTAGTACAACAAATTTACTAAATAATTTCTGAATACTAAAAGGCAATCAATTTTATTGCTGCAGTTTATGCTTTTTAAAGAAATAAAACATAAAATTAAACCTTATTCAACAAGAAGTTACCTTGTGCCACTTTTCCAGCTGTTTTGCTACATAACCTCTTTCATTCAGGTAGGAAAACCCTTTTGGAATGGAAAGAAATCTGGAAATTAAAGCATACCACAGGTTTAACATGAAGTCCACTGAAAAATTTTTAAAGAGCTAAAATGAAAAAAAAAATGAGCTTATAGAGGTAAAAGATTTTAGAAATAGTTCCCCTTCAAAATGGAAAAAGTCATCTATAAGCTATTAAGTTAGTTATAAATTTCTATAATCTTTCCCAAAAAACTCATAAATCTGATCATAATAAAGAAAATGCCATAGAAAGCATGAAACAAATATTTTAAAAAACACATTTTAAGAAAAACTAAATAATTAAAAAAAAGTTCAAGATTCTGAATCAGTCCTCAAGGTGCATCCATTTTTCTACAAATGACTCAAAGGTACCCTTCTTTATGGTAGAGCAATACTCCAATGTACACAAATGCTACATTTTCTTTATTCATTGACCTGCTGATGTACACAGTCTTCTTCCAAGATTTAACTATTAGGAGTTGTGCTGCTATAAACATGGGTGTATGTACTCAATGTAAAATGATGTCTTTAACTGTGGAAGATACCTAGAAGGGGAACAACGGTGGTCAAGTGGAATTTTTACGTTTAGATTTTAAGGAATCTTCACACTGCTTTCCGCAGTGGGTGCACTAATTTATATTCTCACCATCAACGCACAAGAGTTCCCTGTTTCCCCACAACCTTGCCAGTACTTGTTATTATTTCATTTCTTGATGACAGCCACTCTTTCTGGAATAAAGTGGAATCTCTGTTGTTTCAATGTATGTTTCTTAAATGGCCAGAGACAGAGAACATTTTTTTATTTTATTGGCCACTTGCACTTCTTTCTGTTGGCCCCTTTTTTCATTTCTGTTGCCTATATTCCACCCGAGTCTTTTATTTTGGGGAATCTAATTTCATATGGTTTCTCTTGTATGAGAAAGTAAAAATATAAATAAGGAGCAAAGTAAAAAAGACAGATATAGAAAATACGGAGATAGATCTTTTGCAAAAGGGAAGACTAAGAGATGGAAGGACAGGAGGCAGGAGAGAGGATGAAAATAAAGAGTTTATGATCTGTTATATCCGTGTACCAACTTCCTACAAGGAACGTAATCAACAGCAAATATGGACGAGAAAAACAAAATATAAAGAAAAACTGTCCAATTTTAGAAGTCCCAAAGTATACTCTTTGAAAGTATTTCCTACTCAGATTTGAACCCAGTCTTGAAACAGACAACAGAACACAACAGAAAATATAATCAGAAGGAAGTTTACTTGGAATTTACCTCAGAAGGAGAAGTAAACCCTTGTCTCCAAGATGAGATAAAGCTGGCTTCATTTGAATAAGAGCATGAAGATTAGCCTAGATGAAATAATTATTATACCAATTAACAACTGCACTAAGATAACACACTTTTTTTCAAATTGCCTACACCACATATATTAGTTTCATGTAATTGTCAATTAGAAGTGAATTTTTAATAAAAAAAATCATCCCTAAATATTTCATTAAAAAAAGGAAGTATACCTTGTCTTCACAGGCTTCATCAAGAATATCCAAAGCTTCAGAAGAAATTGTTTTGTTTTTATCATGTAGCTGAGTCACCAGTAACTCAATTCCCCAATTATTGAAGAATTCAACATTAGCTCTCAACAATACCCTTAGATGTTTTGTCGCATATAGCCGGCAAGCCTATAAAGATAAGTGAAGATATTAAGAAATCAAAAAACAAAACTAAAAAAACAAACTTCATCACATACAGCCCACTTGAATTTGTTTCGGGAAACTTGTGCTATTTGAAAAGGACAGAAACACTGAAATAGACAGTCTAGTCTTTGATATGTTTAATACTAGTAAAATAAAAAACTTTCCACCCAATAGTTTCATTGTATTGATATACTTATATAGATACTATATGGAAAATAGAAAGTAAAATGTTATAGTTCAGTTTTTATCCTATATTCTCAAAATTTATTACTTAGCAAAAAACATACCAAGTATTGAATTTGTAATAAAAATACATTTCTATTGCTTACGTGACACTCACATCAGTAGCTGCCGTTAGGATTTTTGAAAGAATGACTCTAGCTAATCCATCTCTGCTGTAGTCTAAGCTAGAGACAGTCAGTTTCAGCAAATGATCTTGGTTTTTCAATGAGCAAAGGTTGAGGAGACTAAAAAAAAAAGATAAAGGTTACTAGAATCATCGCATGGACTATCATTAGTCCAACAAATTATTTTTTCCAGCTTTACTGAGATATAATTTACAAATATCACATATTCAGTGTGTGTAACAGGAAGAATTGATTAAAGTATACCTTGTGAAGTGATACAATAAAATTAATTTATACATCTGTTATCACCCAGATATTATTTCATATGCATGTATGCTATAATAGGTAAATGAAGGCATTTTAATATTTTTAAATTCCTAATACAAAAAACATTTCTGAAAGAAAATATTTAGTGACAAAAACATAAAAAATATAAAACATTAAATTTTTCAAAAATAAAACTTAGGAACAGATATTCACAGACTAAAAAGCATAGCATATAACCAACCACACTAAAAATAAAGTTCAAGTATATATTTCAGTAGAATCTAGGGATGCTCACCACTGAAAGACACTGCATTTTTCCAACATTTTCACTCCATGTGGGTGGCAAGAAAGTGTTCCAATAAATAAAAAGTAGTGTTGACTAAGAGTACTCAATAAACCATTATTTTGAAGACTTCTTTCAGGTTTCATTCCAGAGGAGGCATTCAACCACTGAACAATATCTTTTACTAGATCTTCTAAGTATCCTTGACCATCCTATAATTACAAAAATCAGGTACAAAAAAACGTAGTGAATTATTGATAACAAGTATCAGTCACTGAGTACCTGCTGTTTTTAATTTTATTTGATACAATGCTACCTAAGAATAGTCCTATTTTCCAATTCAAAGAAGGTAAATCACATCTTCTAGAGAGTAATTTGCCCAAAGTATAACTAGGTTAGTCAGAATTCACACCTAGGTCTGGATTCATTCCTTATGTGTCCAAATACACCGTGTGCATACTTAGAAACAAGAACAAAACAGATGGTTATAACAGAGGGAGGAGGAGAAGGAAGACAAATTTAATATAAAACAGTATTGCTTTGAAAATCGAGTGTTTGGGGGCTGGGGATTTAGCTCAGCGGCATAAGCACCTGCCTTGTAAGCAGGCAGTCGTGAGTTCGATCCCTGGTACCGGTAAAAATGAAAAAGACGAAAAAAAAAAAAAGAAAATCGAGTGTTTACCTCTTCAGATTCAAGAAGAAATTCTGTAAACTGACAACCAACAACTGTGAGCTGCTTAGACTTGCCAAAATCAAGATCCAGGTTGGCATATAATTTACTGCTCGGCTTGTAAAAATAAAGAAGTCTTCGTACAAACCTAATATCAAAATAAATTAACAATGTGAGAAACCAATTATTTTACAATCTTATTCACAGGTTATGACACAACAAGGCTTTGAAATGTTCTAGGTCTGAACCATGTATGGAATAAGAATTTTACATACATGGAACAAGAATTTTATAGTGAGATACTTAAAAGAAAAAGTGGGGCAGAAAGAAGGTAGTAGGAAAGATAATATCATAATACACCACAACTAGAATGTAAAGATGAATAAACAGAATGTAAATTTAGAAAGCTGAATTTATGGACATAATTTATTATAATGCATTCTAAGCTTCCTTGTAGTTCAATTTAATTTCATGAACTACAATCTAATGTAAATAGAGGCAGTTAGGTCCAGGAATTAGGAAAACAGATTAGAAAAAGATATCATCTTTATTCTCAAGCAAGGAGTATGAAAAGTCAGTACTATGCTATTATTTCAGTGTTATTTCTCAAAATTTGATATTAAGTAATATACCATGAGATGAATATAATCAAAGAATTGTTAATCACACAAACTTCCCCAAGTGTAAAGAAAGGTTCTTCTATCCAATGGACTCAATTTTATTGATAAGCTAAATCTAAGAAATAAAAACACATGGGTGTAGTAGAGAGCAATATAGTTGCTTGAAGTATTCCATATGCTCCTAAACATTAACATTTTATGAAGAAAATGTGGTTAAGTAGACTATTAACTGAGAAGCATTGTTAACTTTCCAAAGTCAGACATGAGTGAAAGTCAAAGTTGTATACTAAAAATATAGGTTCTTACTATGTTATCCTCTTATGTTAAATCCATTACACTGCTGAAATTATCTCAATCTAAGAAACTTTTATCTCTATTACTTCATCTGATCCAAAACTAAAAGTAGAATATAATTAACTAGACAAAAATATTAGTTGATGGCTTCTGATATATAAAAATGTATTTATACATAAAGATATATAAAAATTTTTGTACTGACCAAATGCTATTATCATTAAAACATCAATTAATTGTTTTTAGTAGGCATCAGACATAATATAATCCAAATTTAAATTCTTTAAATGCATGATAACTTTTACATACCTGTGCAACTGTTCATCTTTATAGTTTCTTAGATTTATATTTGGCCACTAGAATAACAAAATATATTATATTACATTACATTATATTATATTATATATTTATTGCCCCAACTATTTAATTGTAATAAACAGTAATTAATAATAAAATGAAGACAAGCTGTCACCATGAAGTATCTTGTCATACCTTAAGAATGGTCCCTATAAGATTCCAATTCCACTCAAGATTTTCTTTATGTTGAAGGACTTGGCTATCCCTAAGGTTCATTAAAAGAGCTTCCTCGGTATCCTAAAAAGCCACCGGAAAGTAATACAGACAATTAGGGCAAATTGTCCTCATGTACAAAAACTGAAGTCAAATTTTAAAAACAGAAGGAAGTTTTTTTTTCATTTACAGATAAATCATTAAAATTTAAAAATTTTACCAAGTTACAAAAGCTCCTTTTTAAATTGCTTAATCAGTATAAAACAAGGAAGCCAAGTAGAAATCCATATGCAAAAATAAAGCTACAGGACCCTGGGATTTAGTTCAGTGGCACAGCACCTGCCTATGATTTGGCATAGCACAAATCATAAAGTTACAAAACTCAAAGAAGAACATGTATGTAAAATCCAGTGGTTAAGAATTATAAAACTGTGTATGAATTAAAAATCATGATTTCATGTCAGTACCTTAAGAACAAATATATCTTTCTGAACTCGAAGATACTGATCACGTTTCTGGTGTGTCGCAATTGCTTTCTGAATGATGTGATCTAAATGAAGGCTGTAAGGCTTAGGTCCTCGTTTCTTCATTTCATGGAAGCGTTTTAGACAGTTCAGGGCTGCACTGGCTCGACTAGTAAGAAACAATATTTTGAAGTGATCATTCTCATACATTATTCAAAGTTTAGATAAATTCAAGGATGGAGATTTTTACTGAAATAATAAGTGAATTATTTTGTCAACTCCGCAAACAAGAAAAAAGATCGAAAGTATTGTGATTTCCATGAAGAGACATTATTTAGACTAAAACATTAATTTACTAATCTTCTCTTGGCCCTTTTTGTATACTAGCTTTAAGAATTCCTTTCACAAGGCCAAAAATATCTAGTTTTTCTTTTCCTATAAAATATTTTAAAGGTTGATTTTCATATGTAAATCCTAGGCCACTGAAACTAATTTTTGTTGTGGTATGAGATCGCAATATAATTTCACTGTTCAACTGAACAGTCTATTTTTTACATGGACCTGTAACTATAAGTTGTATCTTAAAAATTGTTAATCCTTTAATGTACATAAAAGTACAGTTTTCAAAAATTTGGCAGCCATCAACTTCGGTTAAAAGAATTTGAAACATTGGGACCCACTGAGACTGGAAAATATTTAATGTATCAATAAAGAAGCTTATTGAGCTAAAGAAAAAACTATTTAAAGAAGACTATTCTGTTACTTTAGAGGTAAATGAATTCTTAATAAACTCAGACACTGGTGTCCATAATTTGATCTACAGGTTTGGTCAATCAGGTTTTGAGAAAGCTATCTACCATGAAACTTTTAATATAAAAAGGTGAAGGCTACAGCTGATGTTTAGCTCAGAGTCACAATATAGATGTAGCTAATGATCTCAGTTTGTAACTGTAGTCTACTAAATAATAGTATTGTCATTGACAGAAGCAAAATAATAGACCATTATTTACTTATAGTAAGGCTCATGGATGTTTAAACTTTTAAAGAATGTATTACAACGAAACTATGCTAACAAAAATGCATAGTTCTATATAGCTAGCACATCACACTTTGTTAATACTTTCAAAGGAAGAAAAGTAGTGCACATATGTAGATTTTTTTCACTACACTGGGGGAAAAGTGCTAAGAGCAGCAGTGCACACCTGTTTCCCAGCACTCTGAGGCTGAGGCAGGAAATGGCACATTTAAGCCTAGCCTGGGAGACTCTGTGACTTGGGCCCTGACTCAAAATACAAAGTGCAAGGGATACAGTTTAGTGTGAACACCCAGGCTTTAATCCTCACGTGCAAGTGCAGTAATATGTGTGTATGACGGGGGGGGGGGGAATAAAAGAAAGACATCACTGGAAAACAATCCTCACACATACACAGAAATTCCTGATAGCACTTCCTATTTAGCTCCCTTCCCTTTCATAAAATTTATTACTAGCACTGAAGTTCTAGTAATGCTACTACTATATTACCATACTTTTGCTTACAAATTCTATTTGATTTTAAATGTCTGGCATATCTCCTTCAGTTTTAAGATTGCAATTTACTGCTATGCCTATAATTTGGATTATAAAATCCCAACATTTTTAATGGTACAAGTAAAAGCACACTAGTAGTCTTTTGCCTTTGAAACTATGAAATTAATTTGTAGATATTTTTAAAAGGGTTTAAATTACTGCTTGGAATATAAAATAAGCCCCAAAATTCTTAAGCAACATTGTTAGAAATATGGTAAAAAGTCTACATCCTTCACCTAGCACACAAAAGAAAAGTGATTTTACTCCACTATTAAATAGGAGTCATTAAATATTTTCAGGACTACTAATTTCTCCAGTTATCTATTAATACTTACCTGAAAGACTTTCCAAGAAAGCCTAGCTGTCCTACATCAAAAAAAAAAAAAAAAAAAAGAGAGAGAGAGAAGGCTATCTAATTGGGCATTAAATACACTAAGTACAACAACATTCCTGGAGCTTTCTGATACTTACAGTCTCTTTTCCTTGGGGATATCAAAAGACGCAGCCATATTCATTAGGGTTGGCAAACAATGCAAATGATGGCTATGTGAATGAGGAAGGATTGTGTTTGCCTAAAATAAAATGTTAACATTTTTGAAAATAGAAATAGTTTACATTATAGATCATCTGCAAATGTAATATTATATTTAAGACCACCAGAAACTGTGAAAATTTTCCTGAAATTCACTTATTTTCCCCAAGGCATACACACTTACAACTCTGTCTATTCTCAATATGCATGAGATGTAACAAATGTAACTACATAAGTACAAATTATAAACTACTAATTTTTACAGATTCTCTCTCTCTCCCTCTCTTCTTCCCTTCTCTCCCCTACCGTTTCTTTCTTTTTTCTGTGTACTGGGAAACAGGATCTTGCACTTGCCAGGCAGCCAGTGTGCTGCTGAGCTAGATCCCCAACCCTGTAAATCTTTTACTATATTAAATCATGATGTTCAAATGTCAAGTAAAACTCAATTCTTAAATCATATAAAAGGATCATATTGCAAATCTTAACAAAATGGGATGTATGTTATGTTAAAAGCATTTAAAATGCTAGATATAGTTATCAAAACTTAGAACTGACTTAAAGTTTCAAAAACCATTTCCTTAGAATACGTTTGTTGCATACACAAACAATCTTAAAATAAAAACTTATTAACTTCTGCTTTACAAACAAAATCTTACCACCAAACTTGCTTTCTACCAATGAGGTAAGTAAATTAATTACATGTGGAAGAGAGAAGATGTAATAAGCAAAGAACTAGAACCCTTTTACTTAAAAATGATCAGATTTTACACATCAAGGGAATCACAAAATTCTGGTGCATAGGAAAAAGGAAAGAGATTAAGTTTATAAAAATTATTCTCTCACATAAAATCAATTAATTCTGGATATTGATGCCCTTATAGAAAATATCCTAAAAATTTTAAATACAAATATAATCAGACCTGAGAGCTTGCAATGCTATTTAATTTTCTTGACAGGTTGATTGGAGGAAAACAGAGACACTGGCTGAATAATTTACTGATAAAGTTAACATTAAACTTCACTTATTTATATCATTCACATACACAACCCAACAACTGCAGGGCGAAGATTAGGAGAAGTGGAAAAAGAGAGAGGAGAAGAAACAATAGAAACAACAAAAACAAAAAATATTCTCCTAAAAAAAAAAAACAGGCAATTCATAACATAATTTAAAAATATCTGCCATAGGATCACTTCTTCCTTACTGAGTTTAAAGTGGTTCTATTCACTATCTAGAAATATAATTCCTCTATAATGCAAAGATTGCTTTCTTGTTTGAATTGCTAAATGCAGAGAATGGTCAGATCACTCTTTCTCCTAGTTTCTCAAAATCATGAATGTCATAAAATCACAGTGCCAATCCTAATGCCCCAAAAGGATTCTCATTCTCTGAATCTCATACTGTTGTTTACAGGAAACACTGATATCAAACAAGACAGTTACATTTGGAATTTCTGTACAAAGTTTTCTAAAATTTAGCAAGTGACTACAACATATTAGTTCTGTATTACAGTTATACTCTTAAATGACTGTTTAGTATCTACAGTTTTATGATTTTATTTTCTTATTTTTTACATAGGAAGTCTGAGAGATGTTTTTAGGTGTAAAATATCCACATCGAAAGGGAGTAAAAATCAACTTTGTGTTCTATTTATAAAGTAGATGTGACATACATATCACATCTGTGTAGATAAATGTGTATTTGTGTGTGTGTGTATACACACAAAGGTATACATATATATATATACCTGTATCTCAGGATATAGGTAATCAAGGTGTTCTACAATGCGAAAATAAAATCTTTTAAAATGCTAATTTTAGCTTTGCACAGTGGCAGGCAGTATTGTAGCAAATAAGGTTTATCCAAGGGATGATTATTGCTAATTAAAATGGTAACATATTTTTGAGTTGATAAAAGCAACAGTATTAAAATAACCAGTTTTATAAACAGAAATGTTAAAAATTATGAAATATATAATTAGAAGTTGCTAAACTTACCATATGTAAAAGCTCTCCTAAAAGGATGGTAGCTCTAACTGAAATATGATCATCGCTGTTTGTTATTACTTCAACCAAACCCTATGGAAATAAAAATAACATTGCTGCAAAAAAATACGTATGAACATATTCTATGTATCAGCTGTGTTTTTACTATGAAAAAGTTATGTTAGAGAAAGTAACAATAAAGTTTGTAAGACTTACTTCCAAAAGTCCATTACGAATAAATGCAGAGAGTATCAATGCCAAATAATTATCCATGAGGTCTGGCCTAGAAATAAACATAGCACAGAACAATTTAAAGTGTTTTACACATACTACAAAGTCTAACATAAAAACAGTAATGATAATAAATTAAAACAATTTTATATTTAAATTCTACCTGGATCTGGCACGATGAGGAAGAATAGTTTTTGCCTCAGCTGCTACAAAGCCATCTGAAAGCCTCCAACTGTCTTGGAACCTTCCTGGATCTAAAATAGTTAAAAGTAGTTACTTAAAAAAAAAATTGGAGCTAGGCATAAGGGCATATGCTTACTACTTGAAATACTAAGGCAGGAGATTAGCAAGTTCAAGTTTAACCAGAGCAATTTAGAAGACCTGCTCTCAAAAGAAATTTTAAGAAGGCGGAGAGGGGCTGCAATTGTACTCAGTGTTACAGCACTTCCACACACATACAAAGTTCCAGGTTCCATTCCCAGTAAAACACACACACACACAAAATACTAAAACACTACAGATAAGTGTGGAACCATTAACTAATCAAGCTGTAAAGAACTTCAAAAAGTTATTTAGCTAAGAAGTACACTAAAAAAGTTATAAGTAACTTGTTATGTACATGAATATAGATCTAATTTCCTTCATTTTGGGGCTCAGATGTCATCTGGCTAAAATTAAGTACAGCTATTACATAATCTAAATATTACAGGTTTCTTACTATCTCCTATCATTTCTGGGCCCATCTTTCTGTGTATCGTTCACTTGTAAGACCAAGGATGATACAGAAGAAATTAAAATTTTTTAGTTTTAGGAACGGACTTGAGGTTTCATTTTTATGTTAATTTCAAGCCACAATGATGGAATAAAAAGAAAGTAATGTTCAGTATTAGTATTGCAAATTTTACTACCTCTGGATAACTCATCTAAAAATTACAGCAACAGTTACAAATGTTCAATACTTACCTACACTGAGCAGGGCTTCTATGAACTCCTCTGTCACAACAGGTAGAGGAAGACGAAATATATCATAAAGCACTTCAAGCAGACCACGCTGCAGCAATAAATAAATAGTTTACTTTTATAGAATAAATCTTTAAAGACATTTTTAAATGTACTGTACACAGAACTGAGGAATAGTGGAACCCTCAAAAATTACTATAAAAGCTTATACTAGAGAAGGGATAACTGCTGAAAAAAATATATATGAACACATTCTATATATCAGCTTACATACATCATATAATGTTTTCCAAAAATCTTTCATTATCCCACTATGTGTATGAAAAAATAGATCCTATGTTCTTTCACAACTGCAAGGTAAGAAGTTAGGTGATAATCCACCATGTTGGAACTTAGGTGAGCCACCATGGTGGAACTTAGGACGCTGTGAAACCAAACAACCAGCCTGCCTCCCTGCTAAGAAATAGTGAACTAACACTCTACTCATTAATCATTAATACAAATAATAAATCAACTCAAACTGAATTTTAATTAAAAAACACCAATCTGCAAAATAAAAACTCGGCAGTTTGGTAAAAAAAAATATAAATTAGAAGACACAGATGCATGTATACCATATCTATCTTTTACTAACTGTATTTTTGCAGTCTTTTGACCTTTACAATGAGAATGCCTTTCTGTCTTGCTTCTGATGTTTTGGTGAATAAAGTAGAACTGACATTTTCAAATCAATTTCTTAATTATCACTCCTAATAGCAGTATTTTGAGTGATTTATATGGTATTTAAAGACTAAATTGGGATTACCCATATTTTTTAAATGCTTTATGATAAAAATTATCAACTAATGAGAAAAAGAAACCACCTGAAGTATTTTTTAAACAATTTATTTTCTCTGTTAAAAGCCCAGGAATGAAACAGTCACATAACTTTTACCTACCCTTATTTCCATATTTGGTATACAGAGTACTCCAATTAGTGATTGGATCCCAGAGTTTCCAGGTTTGCACAAATTAATAATACCTACAAAGGGTAAAAAGTCAGGAATTTAAATCCCCCCAAATTTTCCTTTAGTAATGTATCATAAAATCTGGCATTTTCCCAAGTTAAATTATATAATTTGTTTATCATAACAGATGTATAAGCACATTTCAAGTATTCTCATATTTCTGATTCAAGATTGTCAATAATTTCAACATTTGAATTCCTTGTTCAATTTGTTTCATATGCTAAAAAAGCCTGTCTCTCCTGCTTAATACTCCTAAGTCTACATGCATTCATTTTTTAAAAGTATAATCCTACAAGTTATTGGATGTACAGAACAGTACAGCAGCAGACTTCAAATAAATTATATAGATCAAAAACTTGAATTTCAGAACTGTGTTAAATAACTTTGAATACATTAAATTTGGGTCACAAAAGAAGATATGTAAATATGCAATGAAGACATACAAAATACCCAGTATCATTAGTCACTGGGGAAATGGAAATTACATTAATAAAATATCACAAAACAGCTACTAAAATAAGATGCTGATGAGGATACAAAAAACTGACACTAATAGACATTAACGATGAGGCATTACTTTTAATACTGAACAAGCTGAAGTATTCAGGAGTGAAGGTGACTGAAAGTTATAATTTATTTTGAGATACAGTGTCAGAGTAGCTTACATGGACTAATCAAAGCAAAAAAATGGATGGATAGATAGACATGTAGTCAAATAAATACAGTGAAATTTGGGTGGTAAGAGATGTAGGTGATTACTGTACATTTTTTAAAATTGCAATTTTTTTGTTTTGGTTTTATGAGACATGATCTATGTAGTTTAGATTGGCCTTTAACTCACAGTTATCCTCCTATCTCAGCCTCTCCATTTCTGGGATTATAGGTATGCTACCACATCTGGCTATCAAATGTTTTTAAATTAAATATTACAAAAAAAATTTTTTTAAAAGTCATATAACAATATTCATCTAGCTAAGCACATACAAGCTGAATATCCCTTGTATGAGTATCTGGAACCAGATTCGGATTTTAGAATGTATGTAGATATCTGATACGTTGTCTTTGAGATGGACCCATGTCTAAATATGAAATTCATTTATATTTATATATGTCTTATACTGTTAATTTTATAAAGTACTTTTACTGTACATATATCTTCACTGTGATCCATCCCACAAGATCAGATATGAAATTTGTTGTGGTGTCAAGAGTTTTCACTCAAGAGTTTTTACATTTAGGGATGCAGATACAGCTCAGTGGCACAGCGCCTGCCTGGCAAGCGCGAGGTCCTGAGCTCAAGTCCCATTACAAAAAGAAAGAATTTTTAGATTTGGGGCCATTTTGTATTAAGTATCCTCCATCTGTATGTATGTTTAAGAATAATCCCTCTCTTTTTTTGGATAGAGTATCAAACTTCAAATTAAAACATAACAAGTAGATTTACTAAAATTATCAAAATAGTCTTTCTCAAAATGATGTATGAGAAATTTGAGGAATCTGAGAAATTAAAGAATACACGGATGTTACTCTACTTTCAGAGAAAATAGACCGTTGATCTTCATGAAGAAACTATATTCTACAATGTCAGTTATCCATTAGTTATTCAAAATTTGAAATATATTATATCACAAAATAAATTTATAAATATGCAAAAGTTCATTAAAGTAATAACATCGTAGATTCCAAAGATTGTAGTAAAATCTTTATGTTAAAAAAATGTGTTCAAGGTTCTAATTTGTTATGCTGATATTTCTCTTACTTTAATAGGAGGATGGAAGACTCAATGTTCTATGTTTCTCATGATGAAATCAGAATGTAAGAACTCTAGCAGAAACTAAAGCACAGTAGAAAGAAAGTGTAAAAGCAGTAAGGATTCGCGAATGATGGCAAGTGCCTATAATCCCAGCACCCTGGGAAATGGCGGCAAGAGTATTCGAAGGCTGAGCCTAGTCTGGGCAATTTAATTACTTAGTGACACTCTGTCTCAAATAAAAACCAAAAAGAAGTGCAGATGTAACTAACATAAAGGCCCTGGGTTCAATCCTTGATACTGGTGAGAATTTATAGTAGAGACTGGCAGGAATTAGAGACAGATAGGCAAGTAAAGTCTACATGCAAGAAAAATGAGGCCGCAGCTAAGTTTACCAGCGGTTAAAGCAAGATAGAATTAAATTCTGAAGACAGAAACCCCACTAACGGTAAGGAAACTGAGGGGTGGTAAAAGATGATGATTTAACTACAGAAAATAAAAACTATAATGAGTTTTAGAGTAAGGGCATAAATGGGCAAGTAAGCTTAGCAGGACTGAGTTGGTTTACATATTAAAAGAGAATATGAGGACTGGTGAAGTACTGCCAGTTTGAGTGAGTCCCCCAACTTCACGAGTCTCCCCAAGTTCATATATTGACAGTAATTGGAAATGAGGTCTTTGGGAGGTAACTTAAGATTATCAAAGTCATGACTGAAGGAGCCCCAATAATGGTTTTATAAGAAAATGAAGAGACCTAGGGTGCTTACTCTTGTTTCACCACATAATGTCAATGCGATACTTTTAAGACTTTACGGCCTCCAAAATTGTAAGCTGACAAAAACCTTTATGTTTTTGTAAATTTCCCAATATTTAGTATTTTGTTATAACAATGGAAAATGGATTAAAACAAGGTTTTAAAAATTCTTCTCCTGGGTTTTCATTGATTATTTGGTTATCCGTGAGTATAATAAAAATAATTACAAAATATAGCAAAGGCTTTCCACTGAGATGGTAAGAGGACAAAAAAGTCCCTGGAAAAATACTGGATAATGGCCAAGTCTATGGTTCAGACAAACATTTGTACAGATTTTGTATTTAGAGCTATCTAGACGTACAAAAATACTTCGGTACAGTTCTTTGTTCTATTTACTACTCTATCCCTTTCTATACTATTCCATTATTTTATAAAATAAGATAATCATTAAAAGGCAATAGAATTATCTTACGGAAGATAAACTTGTTTTTTATTCCATGGAAAGATAAAAAGGATCTAATCCCTATTGTGAGGAATAGAGACTGCTAATATTATGACATTACTATCTTATTATTATTATTTTTGGTACTGGGGGTCAAACTCACAACCTTGCGCTTACCAGGCAAGCACTTGAGGCACTGAGCTAAATTGTCAGCCCACTATCTTATTCTTAAGTAACAAGCTTTAACTATATATACAGCTAACACATAAGTTTTGCTTTTGTAAATTTAATTTTGTTTTGTTTTTAAGAGGGGAAGTACAAACCATGCTACATTTTTGGGGAGTTGCCAAGGTAATCATTAGTATAGTGACATAAATAATTGATAAGTATTTCTATACTAAATTCAATACTAGCAGTTTCTTTACTGTTTCTTTACATTTTCTTTACTGTTTTAATAATTTTGTATAAATTTCTTTTGATCTACACATAACAAGCATAGTGTTTAAATCAGAGCTTCAATAGTATATTTGGAAAACATGCAAGTTTTTCTTCTTGTATATTATTAAGGAATATGTAGTAGCATACCTGCCCATGACCGGAATGTTGCTATGATTCCCATTTTGCTGGCTAGAAACCGTGCTTCTCTGTCTTCTCTGTTTTAAGTGGGTGGGTTATAAAAGATATAAAATGTTAGAATAAAACGAGTTATTGCTGCTATAGCAGAACTAGAGCTATCACTAATGTTTAAATATTTAAATATGAAATAAAAATGTTAACAGCAGTCAGATGTATCCCAAAATCAATTACCCAACTATAAACTGGACTTCAATTTTAGACTCACAACACAGTTTCAAATAAGTGTAAATTTTGCTTTTCTATTCTGTTCTGTGTTCCCTGCTCTTTCTGAAAACTATTCTTGGATAAATTCTAATTAAACATTAGGTAACAGCAATTTGCTTAATATGTGTTGCAAGGTTGTCCCTTCAAGAAAATAACCACCTGCATCCTCTTCAAAATCCTTGTCTCAAATGTATTTGAACATTTCTAATAAGCAAGTTCAATAATGTACAGACAGTAAAATGTTACCAAATAGATAATATTAAAATTACCAGCTTTCTTCCACGAAAATTATGTATCTGACTATCTCATTTGTTCCTTTCTGTACAATACTATGACCATTAATTAAGCAACAGAACTATTTATATTTGTTAAACATTGTCCATGGCTGACCAACTTCAATGCTTTATAGTAATTTGATAACTAATCCTTTGTACTAATCCAACCACATCTTTACCCCGTTAACTGAAAATTCCACCCCACCCCCCCACACAGTTTTTTTCTTCCCCAAATTCTTATTAATATACAGAAATTCAAGGAACAAGGCTCAGGGTGTGGAAATGAGTAGGAAAAAAACAAAATAAGCTCTGTAGCACCAATCAAAGGAAGAATATAACAAACTAAAATGGGGTGTTGCGGTCAGGTATCTGTGTAACTCGTCAGTGTTTTCTCTTAAAAATACTGATAACATACTTACACTGACTACATGGTTAAACATGTTTAATCTATTAGGATAAATATACAATATTTTAACAATCACCTATTTTCCTGTTCATAATGTACCTTTACTTGGTCTGCTACCCATCAGCTCATACTCTAGAAAAACAATGAAAGTAAACTAGAAATAGAAAACAAAGAATTTTGGTGGATTGTTCTCTACCCCTCTAATAAATATCTAGGTTCACCTCTTGTTCATCACGGTATGTTGATGCTAAAAGTAGCTTTACTCCAAGACTCCATGCCCTGAGCTCTGGATCCTACAAATACGAGGTTTCATTTTTATGTCATATTGTTATAAGCACAGCACAGGGAAATTAGTGGGCTTGATCTAAGTTGAAAGCTTTAGCTGGTGGCAGAAGCTAGAGAGAATCAGGGTGCTAGATGAGTTTTAGATCCTGGTGCTGCCCATGAAGAAGAAGGGGCCATAAGTCAAGAAATGAATGGTAACAGTCACCAAGATAGCAGAGGAAGAGAACTCAATTACTTAATCATACAGAACTGAATTTTCCAACCATCTGAATGTACTTGGAAATGGGTTCTTCACCAGAGCCTTTGCTGACCCAGACGACGTACCAAACTATAAGCTAACCAAGAGATGCTGCACTAGGACAATATGCTTATAGTAATTGACTGCACAGCAACAGAAAAACTGTATGTTCTCTACCAAAAAAGACAACATTCAAATCTTTTACAAAGTCAAAAAAGGGGCTTAAGAATTCCAATTCATAACTAAAGTTGGCAGGAGTAAGTTTGAAAAGCTCTTCCTCCCCACCCAATACTAAGGATAGAACACAGGGGACTCTACCATTGAGCTACATCCTTCAGCCCTTTTTCATTTAGAGTTAGGCTCTAAGTTATCTGGCTGGGCTTGAACCTGAGATCCTCCTGCCTCTACTTCCTGAGTAGCTGTCATTACAGCCATGTGTCACTACCTGACAAGAAGTCTTAAACACAGGATGTCTGTTTTGATTTTACCTAAGGTCATGATATGCTGGAGTGTAATAATGAATCACCGAGATGGGTGTGAACATAACAAAAGCATTTTTTCTTTTGGTACTAGAAATCAAACTCATGACTTTGCATTTGCTAGGAGGCACTTATGTCACTGAGTTGAAAAATAACAATCCCAGTACTCTGGGAGGTAAGTTAGGAGGATAACAAATCTAAACCCAGCATGGCTAACTAAGGAGGATCCTCTCTAGAAATTTGAAAAAAATAACTAAAAAAGGGCTCAGGATACAGCTAAATGCAAAGATCATGGGTTTAGCTCCTAGTACCACCAAATACAAAAACAAAAACAAAAACAAAACAAACCAAAAAACATTGCATAGATATCATTATGCTAACACAATGTGTTAAGGCAACTCTTCAATCTACTACCTGTGATTACTTTGTTCTTTTAGTCTGCAACTATGCTAAAAATAACAGGAATACAAAGACCTAAGTCTTTATTAAACTCTACCTTACATATATTGAAATAAGAAATTAATCTTAACATTTTCCAAAGCTTTTTCTACATTTTTAAAACTACAGTTGTGAGAGAAATGTAATTCCATACAATAGGAAATTTAATTAAATGCACAATTTATCTGGCTTTTTATGCAGTCAACATTGGGATTATAGGCATATCCCTACCACATCCAGTTATATGTAAAGTTCTAAGAATAGAGATAATAAGAAAATAGATGGGAATATAGTAAAGATCATTTTTTCTAGAAATGCTTTAAGATTAATACATATAACACCTCATACATTATTAGGAATCAGTAATACTTACTTGAGCTGACCTTCTGCTGTATCTGGACTGTGTCTGTAGTGGAAATCAGTGTAGGGTGCTAAAATCCGCTAATTAAAAAGAATTTTTAAAAGAATAAGAGTCTTTATTATTAAAAGCATTCTTCCCATAACAAACCAAAATTAATTTCATTTCTTTTCAAACTCATAAAGAAATGGGTGAGTTTTTAAAAGCATAAATTCCATTTTTGAACTTTTAAATAGGGTATAACATATAGCTAAAACAATATACAAACAGGAATAAAAATAGCATTTTCCCCAGGTTCGAGGTTTAGTTGTCAGCTTTTTACTTTTGTCAACTCAACTATTGCTAATTTCCTTTGGTGACAATCAACTGCTAGACTCGCTCCTTTGAAAGTTTCTTTTTAGTCTTGAGCTGTTCTCAAAATTTTTAGTTGTCTGTCCTATTTGCTATCTTCTCTGTATGTTTTACTACAGATATTTTTATTGCCTTTTCTTCTTTCAGTTTACTTGCATTATCCTTGATCAAACTGAACTTTCACTTTCACTAACTTTTGAATTACAGATATTATAGTTCTCAGTGTAAGAATTTTGGTTTATTCTTTTTGTGTAATTAACTACATGGTGAAATTCTTCATTATGTTAACCGTTTCTGCCTTTTCTATAAATAAACCATGGCTGTTTTTAAAGGTTTCTGTTTTGTATTCCCATCTGGATTACCAGTGAATATGTTTCCATGAAATATTCCTTCTTTTGAGTTTTCAGGCAAATTTTCAGGTCTTTCTAAATGACAAGAAATCTATGACTCACTATCAGATACTTCATATTTTATGAAAGGATTCAAGTGATTTTATTTTCTGAGATGTTTTATCCTTTCCTCCCCCAGACAAGTAGATTAAAGTAGCTAATAACCTTATCCTAATGACCTTATCCTAAATACAAACAAATTAAGGCTACCTTGCAATTTTGATAAGATTCAGTACATCTCTATCATTTTCCTGTATTCCTAATTATGTATCTCCAGTTATTTCAACAGACCTTATCAAGTATTTTTCTCCTTATTGAAATTTTTTAAAAAATATATTTTGTAAATTTTGAACAGAGTTTTAGCTGTCCATTTAGACAGCTTTAAGAACTTGGTAAATGTCATCAACAGCTACAAAATACCTAGCTTTGTCCTTCAGCACCACATAATGGCCAAAAACTCTTCTGATTTTTCTGATGCTGTTATTTTCAGTGAACAACTACATGCTGAACAGCAAGTGGCTCCAGGAAAAACAGCTATTGCATAACAGTCAGTGTAAATCATTAGAAGCAGGCACCAGGGTAAACTTTTTTTTAAAAAGGGACTTTTAAAAAATTTAATTAACAGAAGCATTTTTAACAAAAGGAAAACTTGCAGCTATCAAGAGAAACAGCACTGCACGTAATTTCTTTATAGAAAAGAAAGTAAAAGTATCAATCTGGAATATAAGTAATATTGATTGATTCTAATGAATAAAATCAGCACTATCTTCTCAACCTGACTTTACAAAAAAGAAAAAGTGTAAGATGATGACAAATAACATCCCATACAAGCAGTATTTATTGAATATTTATTATGTGCCAGGCACTAATTTAAAACATGTAGATTGAAATAAAGTACAAAAAGTAAACGACTAAATTATTACAGGAATGCTATCTGCTACTTTTACTGCAACTACAATCATTATTCATAACATTTGATCTTCACAACAGGTTTTAAAGTTAGAAAAAATCTTTGTTGTATGTATGAAAAAACGAGAAACAAAAGAAACTAACTAGCATTTAAGACACGTTTCCTAAAATAATTATTATAAAGACAAATCAGGGGAAAATGCCTTTTGTAACTTGCGTAATTTCAGCTTACATACAAAAATTCCTTGACTTAACCTGTAAATGTTGCCTTCAAAAGACAATATATTCTGACAAACTTTTAAGAATACAGTATATGATAATACTGTTCCAACATCTATACAACCTATGGTTCATAAGCTGCTAGTCTTTTTATTATAATAAAAAACATTTTTTAAAAGGAGATTCTGTTACTTACATACATTAATTATATATTTTACAAGGGGCCCAAGACAGATTCTCTTCACTCAGTGCTGCCTAAGCAAGTCAAAAGTTTGGACACACAAATGCAGAAAAAATACTATTTGTATTAGTAAAATAAATGTGAAGTATTTTTTTAAAGTACATACTTTTTTTCAAGTATATATGATATATGCTAACAAAATAGTTCTAAGTTAGAAAATTTTAGTATGGTTTAATAAATAAACAGTATATATTACCAGGAGATAACTTGCAAATTACTAATATACTGATGTTCTTAAAGACAAATTGTGTTCTTAACTACACAGGTAAATATAACCTTACTAATCATTTAATTTGCTCAGTAAACTTTTCATGGATAAATGAAGAGGGAACTTTACTTTTTATGCTGATGAAATATTCTTGAAAATATTTTCATTTCATTCCCAATTAAATAAGCTATAAGGTTGAGAATCTATTTCAAAATTTCAAAGAAAATTATGCTTTTTAAATCATACTTTATAACTTAGACAAGAATATTGAAGTTCCTACCTCTAATTCTACATCAGCTCGCACATACTGCCGGGTCTTTGGATGATTAAGGAGGTGCAGAATTGTAGTAATGAGGGCCTCATTTATTCGACTTAATTGGCAATCAATCACATTTTTCAAGATGGTATTTAGTCCACCTCTAAGAGCTACCACCTCTGGATTCTGAAGTGCTAAAAGAGAAAAACTTAACGTATTATATTAGAGGTAGTAAAAACTAACCTAGAATCTCGGCTTTTAACTTCAAAACAATTTGTTCTGACTTGGAAAACTTTCCAATTAACTTTATTTAAAAGGACAAATATATGAAACATATCTAATAAGAATTATTGAATATACTTACCTAATGTTTTGTTCTGTAAAATGTCTCTGAATTATGTTTTCAAAACTTTTGTCCATATTTTTACTGGACTTTTTTTCTCCTCTCCATTGCAGGGAGTTCTTTTTACAGCTGAGACAATAGCCTTTATTGGTTTCGTTTCTAAGTTTTATGATTTAATTTTGGATTTTGCTTAACATGGTATTTATATTTTTTCTGCATTTTTATAACATATGCACATAAATATATTCAAGCATATACACATGCATTCTTTCCTCAAATTTAAACTTTAGAAACTACTCTTATTTCAAAGATCATAAAAATTCTTTGTATTCATGAATAATCATGTGAGTTTCAAAGAAGCTCATGACTTACATTTCAACTTTCAAGAAACAAGCTGAGTTTCATTAAGATGAACACCTTCTTGCCCAAATGTTTCTCATCCCAGCATTTTTTTCTCAGAATGATTTTTACACTTAATGATATACGGAAGTTTTCTACGTATCAGAGCCTGCAACTCTTGATTTTTTTTTCTTCCGTTTTTCTCTTAAAAACTCAGGCTTAATAGGTTTTTTTTTTTAAATATGAGAAGAAAGTATTTTCTTTCCTCTCTATTTCTTATTTCCCAAAATGTTTTCATGGTTAGATTTATCCTGTTCTTGCAAGGCGAATTTTTGAATTAGGTTTCTTCTTTTATACTTTCTAAAAAGAGGATTAACTATATACATTTAAAATGCACAGATCTTAGTAATATAGTTCGTTAAATATTTAACAATGTCTACACCCTTGTAACCGATATTCTACTTAACATATAGTACTTTCGTTATCCTACAAGTTCCCTCCCACCATTTTCTGAGTGGTTTTTCCAGTGCACAAGCAACCAGTACTCTCACATCTGTACTTAAACAGTACTCGTGCCTTTGAAATGAATGACAAATTCTAAAATCAAAAAGTGCCACCTACACACACACACACACACACAAGTCATACACTTTTCTTATGTATTTCATACATCTTTTATATATTTATTTGTTGTACCGTTTTGTACTTTGGATACAGTATTATTTATTATTATTGAAATATAAATCTGTCAAATTTGTATTTTCATCTGATTCTAAATTAAGTACTAAATTAAGTACTAAAATTACTTAAATTTTATATTTTATTTCGTTCAGAGTTCTCTAAGTACAGTAGTACCTCAATTAATGAACTTAATTTGCTGTAAGATTTTGGGGAAGATGGCTGTGTTGTGTTTATGTGGGGAAGACAGCTGCAGTTGTGTTGGTCACTTGATGTACAGTTTGTAAACAGGGGACAAAATTCTATCAAACACTTGAGAACCAAACAGTTTGAGAATAGAAGTATTCATGAACTGAGGTATTACTGTATATTAATCCATACTACCTACTTTTCAATATATAAACTTAATTTATTATTTTGCCTAATACCATACTTAAGTTTTTAAACAATACAACAAGGGACTATTCAATATATTAACCATTATTAATCTACTATTTTGTTTTGAAATTCTGTATCTTATTTTTATTCTTTTTTCATTTAAAAAAAGTAAGTTACAATAATGAGCTGGGCATGTGGAATGTACCTATATCAGATATTCAAGAAGCTAAGGCTAGATGATCAAAAGTTCCAGGCTACTTGGTATGACTAGTACCCAAAAGAAAAAAAGAAAAAAGAAAGGGACTTTAAAGGATGTACTGTGATACTTGTAGAGGTCTATTATTGAGAATAACTTCTAGTTCTGATCTGAAATAAATATTCTAGAATGGTAACAAAGTAGCTTTCTAAATTATTTTTTCTAGTATATATGGACATGTGTATATCAGTGTATAAAAAAAGAGTCATGTCTTTGTTCTTTTTAAATATAACTACACGGGTGAGTCTTTTTGGAGGCAGCTCACATCAAACTTTTCAATCACTTCTATGATTTATTGATCTATCATGTTTCCTACCGGTGAAAATTAATAATCATCCTCCAAACCCAAGTATTTTAGTACGTTTTCAAACATATAAATTTGTAATTTTAAAAACTCCTATTTTCTTCATCTTTTATTTTCTAACTTTTGAATTTTCCAAACACTTAAAATGTGTATTTTGTATTTTTCTTTTTCCAATTAACATACTTCAGGTTAAATAATCTGCCTTGTTCCTAACTAGGGATTCAAATTTTACTGTTGCTTTCCTCCTGCTTACTAAATAAACTTTTTCCTTTGTTTCCTATTTCTTCAGTTATAATCTTTCACTCACTTACTTTGTGCTTATTTATAAAAACATTTTATAACCAGGCACTGACATGTAGTAAAACTTTTTTATGTTCTAAATTTCCTTAATCATATTTCTAAATTTGTATATAAACCAACAGTGGACAGTATTTTAAAATCCTAAGTGATAAGAATTTAGTTCTTCTCTTCAGTGTAAACATTTTTATTATATAGTGTGACTAATGTTGCAACAATAAACCTTAAGAGACTATATTATAATTATGGATTTTTGGCAATGCATACACTAAATTTCATGATGACTAAAACTTTTAGAGATTTATTCAGTTTTAATATCACTTTCAAATTATTTGTTAAATAACAAGTCTACTTTCCTATCAGAAATAAACCTTTTCCTATTTGTGTACTAGTAACTAACTAAATTATACATTAAAAAGCATTAAGAAATATATATTCTTTATAACATGCTATATTTTACTACTTGAAGAAAATTCTGACCTAGTTCACAGATAATGGCAATGCATGCTCGGACCATTCTGTCTCTTTCTTGAAGTCCATCATTTCCAACTGCAATTAACGAGTTGGTCACAGAACTAGGAAACAAGGAAGCATTCACAGTAATCATCTGTAACAAGAAGCACAACAAAAGGAAGTTATTTACATTATAGTGTAATACATGTTTATTTGTACTCTGATTGAGGTAGTTTTAAGACCACAGAATATTCATAAACCCAGCCACCATTTTCATCCTTCTAGCTTCATAAGAATATTTCAAAGAAATATTTGAAAGGATTACTATAGCTAATAACTGAGGTAACAAACGTTAATAATCACTAGTACGGAAAAAATTTTTGAATTTTTTTTAATAGTCAAGACTATAAATTAGTTGAACAAAAAGTTTTAGTGTTTCTGAGATTCTAAATTACTCTAGAATAGGAACTGTATCTTACACAAAGTGGGTCAGTGGTGACAACACCAGTCGATAATACTACTAATATACTATTATAACCTGATTCTTTCCTCATATACAATGATCATCTAGTCTTACCAGTATACTTCAAGAACATCTTTATTTCTACATCTACCTCCCACAAAACTGATTTAGGCTTTTATTCACTCTCACTTTACTGCAATAGATTCCATTACTAACGAACTCAGTAACATTTACTCAAAGCCCCCATCAGTAATTTGTTATTACACCAGTAGGTTATTCTGATTATTAATCAAAATTAATTTTATTTATATCAACAGTAATAGGTTGTTGCAGGGGTGCATGCCTATCACAGCAGCTGTTTAAGAGGCTGAGGCAGGAAGACTACAAATTCAAGGTCAAATGGACAATTTAGAACCTGTCTCAAAATAAAGTTTACTGTATCAATAAACTTAAATAAAAAATAAAATTTTAAAAAAGGGAAAAGATGTAGCTTAGTGGTAGAGTACTTGCCACTATATAAAACTCCTTGGCTTGAACCCTAATAATAGAAAAAAATCCTGATGAAAATAGTACATTATCTGGTGAATAGTATTTTGGATAAATCTCAATCAGAATAAAAAATCTAACTGCATTTGGAATACTGAACATAGACAACATATATCTATAATTTTAAAAACAAAACAAATTGGATAATCATTCCTTAATATTTCAAAGTAACAGGTTCCACGGTGACAAAAGAAAATGTTTTTCTTTATTCAGGTAGTGAGAAAATTAATCTGTCCTGGATGTTACAAAAATTATAAGCCTATTGGAAAAATAAAAACTTATACAATGAAACAATTACAGGACACAATATAATTAAATGAAAAATGTACTGTACAATTAGGGACTATGGAATATCACAGCAAAAATCTTTTTTGGTTAGAGTAGTAATATATAATTTATTTTGTTTAAGCAACATTAAATGTATTACAAAGTTCAGCTAAAATTACAGGCCGTAACTTCACGACCATAAAATATATTTCTAATCACCACAGAATCTAAACAAGTTTGTTTTTAACTTATCAATGTCCAGTAATCACAAAAGGGAAAAATGAAAAGGAGGAGGAAGAGGAATAAGATATAGAAAACTGATCTCTGAATGAAAATATTCTAACCTCTTATACTAATTTGTGTTTTACTGCTTACCAGTCTATTACTGGGTTTAAACAGTATAAAATGAAATGTCCCCAAACTTCAGAATGAATGTAAAGTATTCTGAAGAGTTAGCTAAAAAGCCAGACAATTTGGCTCTGAGGGCTGAATATGCTATTAACAAATTATATTACCTTCAGCAAATCAATTCTGTTGTGCCTCAGTTTGCTCATTTAGAAAATAAATATGTGTATGAACCTATAATTTCTAGAATTTCAAGTATAGTACAAAATTTTAATGTTACGAATCTCATTTATCTACTAATGTATTATTTAATTCAACAGATTGTCCTATGGAAAAAATACATAAAATTGGCATTTTCACAAAATGAAATGATTCCTATTTGCCAGGGTAATATAATATATGCAAAGAACTTCTTAATTCTGTATAAATCAGAGAATGCTTTCTTCATAAATCAATGACTACTCAATAAGGGAAAAGCCACAGAATGCCATCACTGTTGTATGTAATCTCTTCTGGAATGATAGGGCAGAAGTACATAAAACAAATATAACAACTAGTTAATAAATTTATGGAATATTACTAAGAAGTTATTGATGTCCTTAGTTCTTTGGGAGGAATTTCTAAAATTTGAGCTGAGATTGGAAGATAAATATGCTATGACAAGAAGTGGAAATGAAATGAAAGGAGCAAGAAGCAAGCGACAATTGTAAAGGTGGTGGGAACTTGTGTACCAGCAGAGTAGCATAATAAGACAGGTCAGACAGAAATAACTGATTAAACCAAGAGTGAGCTCTGAATGTCAAGCTGGAGGTAGTTGCTATTTATTAGCCAATGTATGTTTACAAATCTGAATTTCTGTTCTAGCTTTGCCACTGTCTTTCTGTGTATCAAGAACACAGGACCGCATTAAATGAAATTCTTAATGACTAGAAAACAAATTAATCATGCCTAATCTAAATAAAAAATCTAAATTAAGAAAATACTAGCTTAACTTAGTTCAGGAGTAAGTAAAATTTAAATAGGAAAAAGAAAACAGTAGCAAAACCTGACCAGTGGGAAAATTATATACAAAATTTGTAAAACAAAACTAGAAAGGATTGCCTGGACAGAGAGAAAGGACAGTTAAAAAGAAATTAAGACACTGAAAGAATAAAAGCAAGTAGATAATCCTCAATGAATGAGATAAGTGAAAGAAAGGAAAACTAACATGAGTAATCATAGAGTATGTCATCCTAAACAATATTTTTTCTTTACATTAATACTTCAATGGAAAATTTCAAAAGTTTTTGAATGCATAAAATAAAAACAGTAATGGTACTATTTCAATAGCCAAGGTGTTCTCAGAAATAAAGAAATATGTACTTCAATGCTAAAAGTATCAATGAAATTATGCTTTCTCTGGCCCACGAAGGTCACTGTTTATTCTGTCTTACATTTAACTAATCCAGTTAGCTAAACTGAAGAAAGAGAAACCCTATGCCAGCTACACCGCCTCCTTTGAGCCTCGGTCCTACCAAGTGTGAGCAGTTTTCTTGCTTTTAGGTTCACAAACGATATCGGACTCAAATTACCAATCATCATAACCAAACATGACACTAAATATGATACCAAATAAATTTACCAAATATGATAAATGATACTTTTAAGTGTCAGTTTACTTTTACTGAACAAGTTTATAAACTAACTTTTAACTTGCACAAAGTATTTTAGCACACCAACATGAAACATTTACTAAACAAATCAAAGAAGCTAAATTTAATTGTTTAAATCTATTTGAAGTTATCTTCTAAAAGTGATTTCTAGAGCAGTAATTCATGTAAGCAAGAAAAATTCTGAAGCTCTGCAAAATTATAACTACCATATTTCCATATCAACAAAAGACATTAGTCTTTTTTACTCTACAAGTATATTTAGAAATTTTGTAGTCTACTCCCTGTGATAGAATAACTAACTGAATTAAGGAAGTAAATACTATAACCACCTTGCCATCTTCTAAGACATACATCAAAGAGAATTCCAAAAATTGGAAACAATGTTTTAGAAAACATTATTTTCATAATATCTTATTCATGTTTACATGTAATAGTTTGTTATTTTAATGTATTAATTATATATTCTAGTTCTCAATAGGATAAATATTCACATATATAACCCCAAAATTCAAAAGCTTCCCTAGGTTCTTTGGGCTGTATGAATAAATTAAAACAGATCATGAAAAGCCAATCAGATCCTGATGTAATGGTTTAATTATAACAAACCTATTTCCAATAGTTACTAGAGTTTCAAACCTCTTTTAAGACTTAATGCATCCATTTTCTTCTTTGTCACCATGGCCAACTATGGGTACTATTTGTAACTAACTCAACAGTTCACCATTCTAGCACATGTAATAAATTCAAAGGTAGGGCATGAGGGACAATCTCTACTAAAAATCTCAACTACTGTTTTGTTGCTTGGCTATTGAGACATCACATTAAACTCACCAGTAATTCTGTGAAGGTCTCTCGTGAGAAGCTTTATAGACATTCTTTAAAACCTTTTCTTACAGAATTTGAATTCTGATCTTTTATTTCATTCAATGACTGAATTGTTTACTACAACCACCCATGAATTATATTCAAATTCATATTTAGAAAAAGGTTTTATCTGCTGTGGCAACTACTTAACAGTTTTAACCACAAGCATACAATCATGAGATAATCAGGATGGAGAGCAAGTAATCTCTTTCTCTAATAACTTATCAAAGCAGTAATTGCATTTACACTTCTACTGAAGAAAAATACGTAATAAGAATATTGTCCTAGCTATCTCCAATCACACAGAACAATTATACAAAATATGCTTACCTCAAAGTTTAATAGTTTTACTTTATTCACATTAACAAAATAAAAATGTGTAATGATAATTTAGGCTTTATTTTTTAATAGAAAGATTTCATAACAATCTAATCTAAAAATGATAAAAACCATAAATTTGCTTTTACTCTTATAGAGCATACCTTTCTGACTAATCGAAGTGCTTGTGTTCTCTCTACCTCGTTGCTCTGCTGAATGTCAATGCACCTAAATAATACACAAAATATTAATCACTGATAAAAATCTTTAAAAACAACTTCTATTGTAATACCATTATTTCCTCATGTTAGTATCCTACATGAAAACTTTAATACATGCTTTTCTATTAACAGCAAATTTTTGTTTAGTTAACCTATACTTCTCTAAATCTTTGTTTTTATAACAGTTACTTTTTCATTTAAAACTTCAGGAAAATATAGTACCTATAAACTCAAAATAACATCTATACATTAAAGTATCAGAAATCTACAGAAAAAAATTTTTATAGATAAAATTCATAGACATTTTATAAAAACTATAAAGGGAAAATATCTGAAGCTTGTTTAATTATGATTGTAACCAATGCTTAAATCTTATATATCATACTAATTCTCTTATGTAATATCTATGACAATTCTACTTTACTAAAATGTAACTTAAACTCTAAATTCTCTTCAAAAATACTTGGTAAAATATCACTTAGTTGACATTTCTTTGTACAATTTTTTTTACCTAAGTTGAAGGAATCTTTTATATGGCAAGACATTTTTATTTCAAATTTCCGTTTAGGTAGTTCAGTATTCTAACACTGAACATTACTGCTACTGAAAACTCACTTTTGTCTAAACCCTATTAATGTAGAGCGACACTAGCACAAAGTAAGTGGGAGGCTGAGGTACAGCTCAGTAATAAAGTGCTAGATTACTATGTACTAAAGGGGTTCCAGGTCCAGTGTGGCAAAAATAAATAAATAAATAACAAATGAACACAGAATACCATTTCTATTACCAAAAAAGATGCAATCAGACCAACCCTCCTACCAAAAGCAACTATAAAATTTGAAAATTACGTCATAAAACAACTGCTAAAAGGCCAATGGAGAATAATCTCTCAAAAGAAAAGCTGTAAAAGAATTCAAACATTCACAGGCTTTTTCCATGGAGCCACTGGTCAACCTCTGGCTTTGCAGACACAGTCCTAGCAGAAAGCAAAAGCAATGCTGGACTAGACAGAGGCTTAACTTCAGGGCAGTTCAAATGGTTGGTTGGGGTTAAGGGGCAAATCCCAAAGACAAGAAAGCACAGGGAAGTAAAATAAAATTGCATGCAAAGTTCTCTCCAAGACACTTGCCAGATTCTATGTTGTATAAAAGCAGAATAGAACTCCAAGAAACCAGGCTACTCTTGAAAAGTAACACAGCAGTGAGGCCAGCCATGCCCAAGGTGAAGAGATTCTGATAAATATCTACACTTTAACTTGAGATCCCAAATTGACACTTCCTATGATCAAAAGACAAAACTAAACAAATCGAAGTTTAACAGAATCAGTGTAATAAATTAACACTCCAGAATAAAAGGAAAATAGTGACCTGGAGTGAGTAATTTCAAATACCAATGTTCATACTTGATTACTTGATATGAAACATGATTTAAGACAAACAAGCAAGCAAAACAAACAAAGCTTCCTAGTACCAAACTTCAAAAAGTAAAAATGACAACAAACATAGAATACAAGTAATTCACATATTGGAAGTGTCAAAAGAGATTTCAAAATAACTATGGTTGACTTAAACAAAAGGAAGAAAGAAAAAAAAAAAAGAAACCTTCAAATTAAAAACAAAATAAACCAAAAGGCAACAACTTAAATGAAGAATACAAAAGACTGATTTATTATTAGTAGTAAGATAGACTGGAATATGGTAAGTATAAAGTAAGCACCTTAAAGAGCCACTGAAAAAAGACTGAAAACTACAAGAAAAACATCAGAGAAATAGGGGATACTGAAAACATTCAACATGTATTGTTGGACCACCAGAAAATAGGATGTAATATAAAGATAAAAAAATCTTTATAGTAGTAGGGGAATAAAAAGATATCATTTACAAAGCAGAGAAGCTCCTACCTAACAGTTTCAAATGAAAGACAAAGACAGAACACAGAAGACAATTTATATGTGATGCAACATAATGCCCGGTGTCAAAAATAGCTTTCAAATATGAAGACAATTTATTCATAGACAAGTAGAAAATGAAGTCCACCGTGGTTAAGTTTATAATACAAAAATAATAATACTAAAAGAAATTCATCAACTAGAAAAACAGTAATCCAACTTGAAAGCATGGAAATAATACAAAAAGGACAAATACGAGCATGGAAATAAATACAAAAAGGATGAAACAAGTAAACAAAGTAAGTAAATAGAGTTGCAATTTAAAATAGTAAGGGGTTAAAATATATGTAAGAAATAAATCATAATAATAGATAAAAACCAGAATAGAGAAGACATAAACTGTAATAGGTTTCCTGCACTGTTCTGGTAATAATAAAAGTAGAGTAGACTTTATTATTTCAAGGATATAGGATGTATCTCAAGGGATATATCACCAGGGCATCTACTCCAAGATATATTACCAAGATACTAGTAGAAGAAGGAAAAACAATCTTGATGAAAAAGGCAAAATACAAGAAGAGATGTGAAAAAGACTACAAATAGCAAGATAACAAATTAAAATTAGAAAATAGCAAAATGACAAACTTGTAAATGTCCACTAGCTGTATTTCACAAATCATGCATAAATAAATGACTAGGAAAAAGTAATTTCAATACTTCAGTTAAAAATAAAGAAGTTCTTATTGGATACTGAAAATAATCTATGATGTTTCTGGAGGAAAGTTAAGTGTAAGAACAAATGGGAAAGATATAAACACTAAACCAAGAAAGTTAGTGGTGCTATACTATTAGATAATACAATCATGTAAGAAGTACTACTAAGAATAGAGGGATATTTCATACTTATAAAAAAACTAGCCTAATATGAAGACTTAATTTTAAATATAAATATAGTTACAAAGTTTCAAAGTATATAAAGCTTAACCTGATACAACAAAAAGGGTGACTAGGCTAGGCTTGTGGCACTTGCCTGTCAGCAGGCATAAGATCTTCAGTTCAATATCTAATACTCTGAAAGAAAAAAACGCATACTATATCTATTCTAAAAATTAAGTCCATAACTTTAAAATTTCCTAAAAAAGAAAACTCAGACCCGTAAGATTCACTGGGAAATTCTAGTAATTATGTGGGAGGGGGTGGGGAGGAACATCAATATATATCTTACATAAAAATCTCCCAGGGAATAAAAACAAAACAATACTGTTTAGATGTTTATAAAACATACTGCTGATACCAAAATAAAAGATATTAGTGGAATGAAAAGACAACAATACCTCTCATGAACATAGGTGCAAAAATCTGTAAAATATTAGCAAACCAAATTCAGTTATACGCACAAAAAAATACAAAACCACGAACAAGTGGTGTCCAAGAACACAAAGTAGAACTATAAAGAAGATTTACTCAAAGCCTATACCAAGTATATATCATGGTGAAATACTGAACACTTTCTACCCAAGCTTAGTAGCAAAACATTGTTCATTTTTACTCAGGGCAGTATTCCAGCAAGTGCAGGAAGGCCAGAGAAAGAAAGATAAAATGATTGAAAACGAAATAAAATACTCATCATGTGTAATTAAAGCTTATATACAAAGAAAATCCAATATGATCTATGAACAAGTAAAACTCTAAGTAAACCACACATGTCTAAAATCCCAGCTATTCCAGAGGCAGAAGTAGGAGGATAGCAAGTTTAAGGTCAGCCAGTGCAATTTATGCAGATTTTGCCTCAAAATAACAATTTTAAAATTGGGCTGAAATGTAGCTCTGTAGTAAAGTGTCCCTGGCTTTGATCCCAGTATTGTAAAACAAAACAAAAAATTAAAGTAAATTTAGCAAGGCTTCTAGGTAAGTAATAAATACTTTCCTCTGATTTTTTCTACATGTTGGTATCTAAAAACTAATGAAAAATTTTATATTAATGGTATTATTACACAAGCCTAACAAATATGAATGAAGCTTAGAAGAGTTCAAGACCTCTGCTTGAGAAAATTATGAAATTCTGTTGCGAAAAATCAAAGTATCAAAAAACTTATGTTTGGAAGATTCAATTAAAATGTCCATGTACCCTAAATTAATCTAGAACATTAATCTAGTACCTGCTGAAATCCCAAGCAAGTTATGGAGAAATGGACAAATGATTCTAAAATTCATAATCAAATGCAGAACCCACAATAGGCAAGATATTCTTCAAGAAGAAAACTTAAGAGTATTCACATTAATAATGAAGATGTACTGCAAAAACTGAGTAAAATAGAAACTACTGCCAGAATAGACAAAGACCAATTGAAGAAAACAGAACACTCTGGATTTCATTAATTGGAACGTTTGTTCCTCAAAGACCCATTAAAAGAACAAAATGGGAAGGCATACTTGAAGATATTCTCAGTATATATACCTGCAAAGACTCATTTCCAGAAGACATCAAGAATTCCTACATAACAAGAAACAGATAATCCAATTTACAAATGAGCAAAGAAAAGAAAGGATAACCACATTGGCAACAAACAAACAAAAATTATATCATATCATCTCTCATCAGGGAAATGAAAATTAAAACTAAAATAAGAACCCACATGAAAACCACACTAGACTGCAAATGCTGACAAGGACATACTGAAACTCTCATAAAATGCTGGTAGTATTATAAACCAGTACTATCGCTTAGAAAACTATTTAGCAATATCTACTAAAACTAACCAAATATATCTTATATCCCAGGAATTCCAGTGCTACATATATGTAAAATAAATGAATGCATGTATCCACCGACAGACTTATACCAGAATTCTCAGTGTAGCTTTATTCACAATAGCAAAATACTAAAAGCAGTCTATAAATCAGCAGAATGGTCAAATCATAAAACAAAACATTACAAACCCATTTAAAAAACCCCACAAGTACATCAACATGGATGAATCACATAGAATAAAGAAGGAAAAGACTACAGTATACTTCCAACATGATACTCAAGAAATGGAAGAACTAATTTACAATAAGATAAGTCAGAATAACATTTATTACTCATAGAAGAGATAAAGGAGTTTTACTGGAAGGCTGAAAATACATTAACTCTTACTTGGTTGTATATATAAAATGACCAAGCTTTACAATAAAATTTGTATACTTTACAGTGCACAGGCTGAAATGCAATACAAAATTTTAAAAACATATGCTCTAGGGAAAGTACCTTGCTATTAAATAGTCCACTTTCAATTTTAGCACCTTCTGCAGAATACTGGAGTCTTGGATAAGATATCGAAGTGCTCGTAGCCCTGCTGCTCGCACTTCTTTTGCTTCATTTAATAAAGCTAACCGCAAACTGTATGAAAACATAGAAAATTTTGCTACATGAGCTTCAAATAACTTACAGTAATTTCATGTGTAAGTATCCTGTAATAAAATGTTTAGGATAAGTGTTTCAGATTTCAAAGCTTTTCAGATAATGGAATACAGTGATAATGTGGATTCATTAACTTTCTTTCATGATTCTAGTTGTAAAACAAGCTGGATAAGAATTCAACCAAATTCAATGGCTAGAGTCAATGCTCATCCAATAAATTTTGCGGCCAAAGTTGAAGAAAGAATTAAATTTGTGAAGTGAGGTATCACTGTATTTGTAAAGAATATACCAATTGAACATTTTCAATCTGAAAATCTAAAATCCAAAACTTTTTTTAACACTGACATGACACTAAGAACATTTTTGCTTTGGAATGTTTCAGATTTACGATTTTCTGATAAGACAATTGATTACACTGAATTCTTCCTCTGCCAAGATATGTAAAATGTTTAGTCATACATGATTAATTTCATCTAATCATGTTTCATATTTACAAAAGCCACACAAGGCAAGCCACTGAGACTTCACTTGATGTAGTCATTTTCAATCAGTGCCTCCTGACGCATTTCTGTCAGTCAAGCAAACACTACTGAATTTTATTCTACCTTGCCATTCATTCCACACAGGCAATGGGAAATTAAGCTTTTGTCAAGCTCTATCATACGCCTCTACTCTACAGTCTGGTCCCCTTAACATGCCTTGCTGCTCATACCTCTCACAGGAAAAAAATCACTGGTTTAAAACTATAAAAATAATTACAAATATAACAACACCAGGGTCAATCAGTGTATTGGTTTTTCTTTATTTTTATTAGGGCATGTTTGCAGTATACAATATTTACATTCTTTCAACCTTCTTTCCCTCCTCACCTCCACGTTCTGATTGTCTTCTCATTTGAGACGGATGTATCTCCCTAATTCTTACTATCTTTTATTTTGCTCTTTATTTAAAATGTGGGTTTCTCATACAAGAGAAACCACGCTACAGGTAAACTTGTTTATTTGATTTATTTCACTTGATATTATGGTTTCTAGGGGCATCCATTTTTCTACAAATAACTCAAATTTTCTTTATGTCAGAGTTGTACTCCATTGTATGTAAACACCATATTTTCTTTATCTATTTATCTGTTGATAAGATATATAGGCTGCTTCTAAGATTTAGCTATTGTGAATTATAAAGCTATAAACATGTATATGCACATAATATGATACCTTTAACTATTTTTGGAAGACAAATAGAAAGGAAATAGCTAGGTCAAATGAAATTTCTAGTTTTAGTTTTTTGAAGAAGCTCCACATGATTTCCATAGTGATTAGACTAGCTGACATTCCCACCAATAATGTAGAAATGTACTTTTTGACCTACAGTCTTGATTGCATCACTTATTACTTGATTTCATGATGGTCATTCTTTTCTGGGGTAAGATGGAATCTCAATGTTGTTTGAATTCTAAAAGCCAGAGATGTTGAACATTTCTCTATGTATTTATTCATCATTTATACTTGTCTATTAAGTACCTATTGACTTTATTTGCCCACCTTTTGGTTAGGTTATTTGGGGGAATGTCTAACTTTGAATTTTTTATACATTTTAGATATTATTCCTTTATATATTTTAGATATCTCAGGAATAAATGGCAAGAAAATTTTCTATTTCGTTGGTCTTCTTTTCATTTTGTTGACTGTTTCTTTTGCTACGCAGAAGCTTTCTTATTTGACACTGTATTAATGCTAATGCCTCAAAACACGAAAAAAATGTTGTGAAATTACACTCTCCTGGTCCCTAGCAGTATGCTTGGGCAAAGCAAGTTTGTCTAAGAGCATTTTCTATTACGTAAGACCCATATTTACAGGTTCTTATTCCTGGAATGAACACAAGAAATTCAGTCAAATTTTCAGACTTAATTTGTAAGTTTAAAGTATAGAACTCTAGATATTGGCAACTATAAAATATCAGTAACAGACACAACTTAAAATTACTGCAGATCTTGAATTTTTCTAATTTTCAGTGCTGTATTATCTGATTTCACACTTAACATTAACAAAATTGAAATACTAAAATGTAGAAGGGATGGGAAAGCGAAGTATATTACACTTACCAAATTATGATATCTTCATAGTTAAAGCCCAGTTTTTCCTCACTGTGGCCAATATCACAGAGAAGCTGTTTTAAAAAAGGGGAAAAATATATATACATATATAAGTTGTGACCCAAATATTTAAATACTTTATAATTTTAACTTAGAAAATATTTTCCTTTAGTCAAAATTCGAAAAAAATTATGATACTGTTAAAACACACAGCTTTATACTTATCATCTCACTTTTTCTTTGACTTACCAGTTTTGATTTTTTTATAAACTGATCATTTTGTTTATTTTTCCCTCTGTACTTTACTGTTTTAAAAACTGTTCTTTTACTGGTTATCACACTTTACACCTATTGTTGACTAATTAACCATACAGAAAATATCCCTCACCAGGGCCTCGATAACAAAATTTTATACTTTAACTACATTTTCTCCCTTACATTCTACTTGCTATTGTGTTTTATACTTATATTAAGCCCCATATGATCCTACTGTTAACTTTTTCAGCCAGTTATCTACTGAGGTTTACTCACATATTTATCCTTTCACTATTCTTCAATCTTTTCTTCATTTTAATGATTTCATAGTATATCATTCTTCCTCCTATTTCAATATGTTGACATATTTTGTTGGTGGTTTACAATCCTCTTGGGTCTGGAAATGATTTGTTTAAACTACTTTCATTTGTGAAGAATATTTTGCTGGATACATTGAATTTTAGGCTAACTCCTCTTTTTCTTCCAATAGTTCAATTTATCCTGTTAAGAAGTCTACCACCTGTCTTACTGTTGCTCTTCTGAAAGTTGTGTCCTTTTTCTTAGGCCGATTTTAAGCATTTTTTACCTTTGGTTTTCAGAAATCTTACTACAATGATTTCCTCTGTTAACATCCTGCTTACAGTAAACAAAATATTTTAAATCTCTGAGTTGATATATTTCATTAGTTTAGAATATCCTATACATTATCCCAATTCTATTTCTTTCCTGTAGCAATTCAATTATATGGAAGTTATGCTCAATTGTTTATTACAGTACCGAGCTCCCCTACCACTGCCAGTACTAGGTCCTGACTCCAAGGGCCTCTGCATCAAGGCACATCTCAAATGCTGGCTTTTTTGTTTGTTTGCTTTGAGACAGGGTCTTGCTAAATTGCTAAGAGATGCTCAGGCTGGGCTCGAATTTGCAACCCCACTAACTCACTCTTCCAAAGTGCTAAGATTACAGGCATGTACCATCATATCTGGCTTTTAATGAGTTTTTAATTTCAGATTTTTTGTCCTAATTTCTATTTAACCTTTTTGTATATCCCAGTATTTTAATGAAAATCAATTTTTAAATCTATTTTCTCCAGTTTTCTCCATTTTGTCATATTAACCATAGTTATTAAAAGTAATAGTCACCTAAATGTAACTGACTTACACGGATCATTTCTGGTTTTGTTTTTATTAGCTATTTTCCTTTTTGTTCTAGTCATATAATCAAACATGTCTTTTGGTGGCTCTTGTAATCTTTACAGGAGCACATACAACTTGCCACAAAGCCTAATTATATCTTTCTCCATAGAGGGGTGAGCCTTCTTTATTAGGGTAATGTATAGTGAGAGACAAGTTCAAGTTACGTGGCTGTGCTAGTAAGACTTAGTCAACTTTTGATATTTCCTTACCCTTAACATTTCCACTGAAAGTTTACTGTTAAAAGACCAAACCAGAGATAACAATTTTAATTTTTAAAATAAAAATACAAAAAGTTCCACCTCTGATTTTCAAACATTTTCCTGTTTATGTAGCCTGGGAATCAAAGAAGGCACTCCTTTCTCTGAATCTTTGGCCCACCACTAAGAAAATTTCCTGCAGTCTTCGAATTAGTTTTCTAAACTGTTTTTATTTGGATCACTGGTCTAAGACTACTAGCTATCTGGATCCTGTATGGATGTGAGTTTTGAAATTTTAAAGGGCTCCAAAGTGCTATTATTATTCTTCACTGGTGCAAATGATAAATATAACTATATTTTAAAAAGTCACCCGCCACTGTATGAAGGGAATGAACACTAAAAGCTAGTAAGTAAAATTTTCTCTTCAAATTCTTTAGAAGCTAAAAACCAAAAGCAAGAAAACAAACAAAACAAATAGAATAGGGTAGAGGACAGGAATAAAGTAGCTGCTCTCAGTATGAGAGCAGAATATATCATATTTATAAAATCTTTAGAATTCTAAAATTTGATGGACAAAGAAGCTTCAGATTTTCAAATGAGTGTCATTTTTCTCTTATTTTTGTTATTTTGATGCACAATGTTGGAAGCACTTAAAAACTGGAAGGATGAATTTTTTAAAATTTTTATTTAAAAAAGAGAAAAGTCAGAAAAGAAAAACAAAAAGCAAAAGGCATAAACAACAACAGCAGATTCAAAACAGTAACAATACAGGTCTTCAAAACAGAATGACAAGGGGCTGGGGATTTAGCTCAGCAGCATAAGCACCTGCCTTGCAAGCAGGCAGTCGCGAGTTCGATCCCTGGTACTGATAAAAAGGAAAAAGACAAAAAAAAAAAATCAGAATGACAGAAATTAAACAATGGTTATTATATTGCATATTGTTCGCATTTTTTTTCAAATAAAGAGATTAAAGAAAACAGAAAGGCTGGGGATTTAGCTCAGTGGCATAAGCGCCTGCCTTGCAAGCAGGCAGTCATGAGTTTGATCCCCAGTATCAATAAAAAAGAAAAAGACAAAAAAAAAAAAATAGAAAACAGGAAAGTGTACCCAATTTAAAAAAAAATTATCATTGTAGAACCGCTAGTTGTTACATTTCTCATTGTCATCTTAAAAATTAGTTGCCAAAGTCACAAAATCAAAGCATAAATAGTGGCTTGATAGTCAAACACTGATAGTACAAATCCTTCTGTTCAATGTTCCAGCAGAAATTCAGTAATATGGTCATCTATCTTACACACAATACATATCGTTATATTCTTTAAAGCACTTTCTTTCCCTTTTACTTTCACAGTATCTACTAGACTTTTTGGATCCCATTATTCTGTCAGTTTTTGTTTCTTACACTAGAGAGACAATGTGCTATTTACTCATGTGAGTCTTGTTTATTTCATTAATGAGGATATTTTCAAGTTGCCTCCATTTACCTATAAAGGCCTCGAGATCGTCCTTTTTTATAGCTGAGTAGTATTCCATTATATAAAAATACCACATTTTTTTGGAAGGATGAATTTTTATAGATTCATATAGAGGTACAAAAGTAAGATTTTTAAAGTTTAAGGGCACAACTTTAGTATAATAGTAAGTCAGCTGTGTGGCTCAACAGCCATATCTGGGGAACAAAGGAAGCAATTTTTGTGTTTACTCACTGGGTATGAGGATGGGCAAGGTGTGTGTACTTGTCAAACTGGGATTTTTACCCACACAATGCTTTCGCTAACATGTTTTGCACATGTTACTTGAGCATTACGGAGGGTAAAATATACCCATGCCACTCTTCTGTAAACATGTATTTTATCGTAAGTGGAAAGTAGGTGTAACTCACAGTAGCTATGCCTATGGAAAGCAAAAAACCATCTGTGCTTTCACTCACTTGACAGACAAACAGCAAAGTGTATGCAGGAATCCAAAGTAGCAAAGTAGATGAGCTTTACCCAGGAATGTTCACTGCTAAATTTCTGGGCCTTTAGGATTTGCTTTTTAAAAAGTTTTCTTTTGATTTTTCTGGTGGAAGTAGCCCAAGTCAGTTCAATGGCACATGAGAAACCAGATTCACAAGTTTTAGAGGAGACTGAAAGTGAATTATCAGACCATTCATGCATAAATGATGGAGATGATAATGACTCTGATGTTAAACATGTGATCCAAAGTTCCTGTGACAATGAAATGCACAGACACAGGGAATGCGGACACACTTGACACAGATGACAAAGAAAACAGCAATATTAAGTACTAGCAGAAAGGGTACAAAAACAGTCATAAAACCAAATGGAACAATCCAATTTTAGAAGTAGGTTCAAAACTACAGTGAGGATCTAGTGGAGAGAATGCCTAAACTACCATGCAATGTTAGAAATTGTTTTTAACAAATGAAATGCTACAAATGCTGAAATACAAGAGAAATGTTTTATATGCAGTAATACACTCAAAAATTATTTACTATGACACTATTAACTAAAGTGAAAGCATTCATACTTCTGCTGTACTTAGCATGGCTTTCTCATAGCAATCAAAAGAATGTAAAAGACTCAAAAAGCAATGGGTATGGGCTTGAGGTTTGTAGAATAATGATCTAACAGTGAAGAGATTTGGTTTCCTTCAAAACTGCCTAAGGTTTCATGACAAAATCACTTGCTAAGAACAAAAAAGAACTGATAATCTGGCTGATATCCACTCATGGTTTAAGAGACTGTGGATAACTGTCAATTTACACACTATCTGAATACAGTAGTCAAGTGACGAATGTCTTACAGCATTTCAAGTTCACTGTTGCTTCAGCCAGTATACTTCTCAAGAGATTTCAAGATATAGCATAAAAATGTATGTATGCCCTTGTAGATGGTGAAGCCTTTATTACGTCTTCAATTTAGAAATTTAGCCTGGAACTCAACCATCAGTTTCTTTTTCCTATACTAATAAACCAAATGATGCTATGAACAGACTTGCTTCCATCTACCAAATTAACTGGAACATGACACTTGACAGCTGTAAAAACCAGTTTCCAAATGATGTTACATTTACTAACAGAGCAGAAGTTTACCAGTGTAGAATCTGTACCCAGGAACAAAGCAGAAATTCCAAATGAAAAATTGCAATTTCAAAAAACAGAACTGTAGAGCACAATCTTTGGATTTCACAAAGATCTGACATTGGCCTCATATATGGCAAAGAAAAATAAAACAGTACAGCTGATGCCAATACTACACCATGATGCAAATACTGATAGGGAAACCTCAGTGAAATGGAAGCCTGAGATAGCAACTTTCTACAACAAAACCAAAGACAGACAGCTGATCACTCATACTACACTTATGATGTCACTCATAAGTTTTACTCAACGGCACAACACCTACCTGGGCAAGCATGAGG